TAGCTATGTAAGGATTTTATTCTGGCTTCAGATGTCTAGCAACACTAGTTCTTTTCAGCTATCATCTTCAGATACCTTGCTATTCCTTCTTTGGATTCTGTTCCTGACTTCTGCAAAACTTGCTGCATGGCACTCTGCATATGCTTAAGCTTGCTTTATTTTTTAAGTATTTCAATGGCAATTTGCAATCTAAAGAGAAGAAAGCGTATCTGAGAACAGGGACTGCAAAATATTTTTTTAAAGAATGCAACAAGCTCAGTGCTTGATCTCTCATCGTGTGGTGTGCCTTTTATGAGGAACAATCCAAGATTATGAGCACAATTCTGTTGCTGGATATCTTGATATGTTTTAAGAGCGATAAGACCATTATTTTGCATGGAAGCTGACAAAGCAATTGGCAACTCTTTCCTATCCCGTGTGTGACTCCCTTCCCCTTTTCACTTTAACTAACAAAATCAGTTACTGCTGGATCATTTCAGCTAGAAGCTTCCTAATGGAAGATTTCTCTCAACCAGTTAAAAGGCGTACCATTTCCATCTAATTTTCTTTCATGAAATTCTACATCATGGGAGAGTAAACTGATTAGAAAAGCAAGTCTCAAATGCTTTTACTAAGCAAATTATATGTTAAAAAGATCCCATGCAAGAATAAAAAAATAGTGTGATTGATTATTGATGTGATTTAGTTCACGCTACCTGGTAATTGTATAACGTGACCTTCAGCCTTTGAAAAATAAAGATGCTTTAACTTAACCAGTCAGACAACCCAATATGTGAGGTTAAGGCTGAAATCCAAAATCACTGACCTTGGAATAATTCCCACTGAAATAAATTGGACTTTGTTCTCTCTCTCTCTCTCTCTCTCTCTCTCTCTCTCTCTCTGTGTGTGTGTGTGTGTGTGTGTGTGTAGGATGTACTGTATGAGAGTCCCCACCCCCTACTCCCAGCTCTACTGTCATTTTCCAATTCTTGGGCACTGCAGAAGGGGGGATGGTCCTAATTAAGGCTGTCATAGAAATGCACAGTGGGCTCAAGTTAGCCTGAATTTCTACTAATTCAGCCCATGGATTCTGCAGCAGGCCAGCTTTTCCCAAAGCATTCATATCTGCAGACTGTTTTTTTTAAACAGTCCATATTTTTACACAAATTTAATCACAGTAAAGTACCAAAACATCACTGACCTAAAATGGGTATGTTCCCCATCGGCTAAAGCATGAAAATCTGCATTTAGGTGTTTGGAGGAATTTGTACATACAGTCTATGGAAGTGCAAATTTAAGTAACTATCTGAATGTGCTTGTGCACAAATTATTCCAACAACGAATGAATGAATGAATGACAAAAAGATGCCTGAAAATCTGCAAAACACAAATGGAACCAATTTTATGAAGTCTGTATCTCCACAGTCCTTATTAATCCATTTAGCCAGTGGGTCTAATGAAGTGTCATAGAGCATGTGGCCTGCGCAATTTAAAAAAAAAATGAAATTAATTAACTTGAACAAATCGCTTTTCTTTTCATCATGACTTCTTCATTGGTAACTTGTATTCCTCTGTAACTGGAACGAGCAGTGTTCCCTTCTGACAGTCTCCTTTGCTGCATGGGCACTTGTTGCTCCATGGGAGGGGAAAGGAGGGTGGGAATGGATCGAAGGCAATGCCCAGCTGATGGTCATTTTGGGGTGAGGTGGGTAAAACAGTAACGGTCAAGTGTGCTTGCAGGCCAGGCCTTTATGGCACCAGGACCCTGCTTAATTCAAAGAGTTTCATGGGGAGGGTCAGATACTTCCCTCTTCTGTTGACAACCCTTCTAGTTTTACCACCACTCTTCCATCTTTTTGTTTACCATGGAAAGACCCCGAGGGGGGAAAAGGATGGAATAACAGAATAGTGCTATCACTAGAACCCTTCCCTCTGGAAGTACCTAAAGAGATTGGAGAGAAGATGGGGGGGGGGGACGGTTTAAAAAAAAAACAAGTTCTGTTTAAGAAAGGTTACACTTGAGTTTGTTAGTTGTCCAGGAAGAAAACTGCAGATGAAAAAAAGGAAACATATTAGCAAAAAAGATTAATGCAAACTAACAAAGTAGCAGGTGGGGTCTACTGCCTGACATGTTTGCATGGACCTGGATCCCATGATGATAGCCCATTGGTTTAACAAAACATAGAAACAGAGCGAGTCAGAAGGGGCCTCCCAGGCCATCTAGTCTGACCTCCGGCACCAGCCAGCTCCACTCACGACATGCCCACCATGTGAACGTCCAGCCTATCCTTGAACACCCTCACCGATGGGGCCTCAACGACCTCCCGTGGAAGCCCATTCCATACCCTCGGGGCCCTAACTGTCAGGAAGTGCTTCCTGGCATCTAAAGGGACTTTGGCTCCCTGAGCTTTGCTCCGTTGGAGCGCGTCCTGCCTTCCTCTGCAGGGGAGAACAGGTCTCTACCCATCTCCATGTGACCTAACCTGTACTTATGACAGCTATTCCTATGCCCCAAGTGCAAGACCTTGCACTTATCCACATTGAACACCATTCTGTTGTCTCCTGCCCACTTCCATAGTCTGTCCAGATCCTTCTGCATCTGGAGTACCTGCTCCTCAGTTGTGGCCGCTGCTCCAGTTTTAGTGTCGTCTGCGAATTTGATCAGCAGACTGTTCACCCCTTCTTCCATGTCATTAATGAAAAGATTAAACAGGATCGGCCCCAGGACAGAGCCCTGGGGGACCTCACTTGTCACTGGCCGCCATCCTGATGATTCCCCACTAATGGTTACCTTCTGCTTTCGGTCAGTCAACCATGCCCTAATCCACCAGACAGTGCTTTGGTGTATCCCAAAACTCCTCAGTTTCTCCACCAGGATATCATGGGGCACTTTGTCAAAGGCCTTGCTGAAATCCAGGTATACCACATCCACTGCATCCCCTCCATCTAGCCATCTCGAAACCTTGTCATAGAATTCCACAAGGTTTGTCTGGCAGGACCTGTTTTTGCAGAAGCCGTGTTGTGTGGCTGTCAGCCTCCCTTCCCTATCTAGCATCACTAGATCTCTCTCTATTATGAGCCTTTCCATTGTTTTTCCTACAATGGACGTAAGGCTAACCAGTCTGTAATTCCCCTTGTCCCTTCTACTACCCTTTTTGAAAATTGGGACCAGTGATGCCACCCTCCAGTCCTCTGGAACATCACCCGTTCTCCACGAGGCCTCAAAAATGGAGGCCAGCGGGCATGAGAGAACCCCGGCCAACTCTCTCTAAGTAAAACCATTTGCTTGGCCCCCACAGGTAGGCTTCTTCTGGTCCTACTGCACAACCCATGAGTGGCTCCACTGTGCAGCACTGGTGTGTGAACCCAGGCCACTAAGCCATGGTGCAGCCAATTATGGGTTGTGTTGTGAAGAGAGAGGTGGGCCTGCTGTGGGAACGCACCCACTCTTCCCCGCTTGTGCATGGCTGCCCCGATTTTTTAATCAATGGGTTGCTGCTATGCACAAACAGACCTCCAATCATGTTCTCCAATCACAGAAATCAACAGTGTATTCCGATGAGTTTGCATTTCTTTGAATCCAGCCTAAAGACTCCACAGCAGACTAGGTCTTCCCAACTCATATGGATATTGTGGACCTGCAAACTAGTTTTTCACTTTTAGGGAGGTTGTGCACTAATTCACAATAGCACAAGTGTGCATTACTGCAAATGTACCCTTATACGAATGCATTACTCTGTTATCAGCAGTGTACTCTAACTGGTGCACATTTGTGCAAGTGAATATCTAGGTGCACATGCTCATGCAGGTTAGTGCAAGTGCAACACAATTTTGGCAAAGAGTCTAATTTGGTAAATAAGATAGTAACAGAACAACAATCCATCAAACACAGATGAAATATATTTAACAAATGTGTACATTTTTACTGGTGCCAATCTTGTTTAGTTTCCATGTTTTTAAAGCTATTTTCTCATAAATCCTTACATTTTGCATTTTTAGATAAATACGTTTTTAAACAAATATTAACATCTCTTATTATTTTACACACTGTTTTTTTAGTGCTTATGTTCAAATGAACTAACATCTCCAAACGTTTGTTTCAGTTGGAAAAAACATTTGCCAATGTGATTTGCCAGCACAGCAGTCTGAACGGTAAAACAATGTAGGTATAAAAGTAAAATATTGTGACACTTTTAACCACAGCTGTCAATTAGTTTGATCTGGAAGTTGGTATATGTTTGTGATCACATAAAATATATTTATTCCCCTGTATATGAAACAATCATAGCACATGTAATTATGGCCATCACTAATGGGTTCAGTCGCCAATGACTACCTGCCATATGGAGGATAAAGCTATTAATTGCTGCAAGTCATCCCTGCACGTTCCCTCCGGTGCCAGGGGAAGGATGCCTTTCAATTCCAGTTACCGGGGTACATGAGCAGGAGATGCCACTGCAGGAACAGAACTCTGCAGTAGATAAAACCTCTGGACTGATCCAGCATGGCTTTTCTTATTTTCTCAGATATACGTTCCTCAGGAGTGTATATGGTGCCTCCAGGAGCCAAACCAACAGCCTTGTGGCTTAGCTCAGAGTTTACTCACCTCGAGTCTGAAGCATTTACTATCAGTCCTACCTGCAGCTACTTGACAAGTGTGTCAGTTCCACTGTTCCATGACTCTGTAGTCCCCCAGAATCCCACTTCCTTTTTCTTTTATTTTCCTGGCTAATAGAAAAAGTGTGGCTCTTTGCAGTTCCTCTTTCAAGTCCCTGCAGCAGTCAATCAGATCCCAGACAATTTTTCTGCCCCATGTTGCAAGAAGTGGCTGCAGAGATGGGTGTGATGAACATTGGGTTGAGAGTCTCTGACGAGACATATTGAGAACGGACTGGGGTAGACTAAAGTCATTCTGGAGTAGCAAGAAGATGCACGGACTTGAAAGGCAATGTAGCTGCTTGACTGGATCCAAGAAATCGGTTTTACCTCTGCAAAATTCACCTAAGTAGCTGGCTCAAGAATCAATGGCATGGATTTTTATTTGCATACATAAATACTTTTGCAAACAAAAGGACACAGGAAACAAATTACAAATTCAATTTATACAAGTGTCTTAATCTGATAACAGTCTCAGATCAGTTGTGTTAAAAAAAAAAGCTTAATATGTGCTATTTACAAATTATATAAATAAATCCTTGATTAATCAAAAAAGTTAATCATTCTAAACAATTTTTACCTTACTGGATGTAATAAAAATGTTCATTTATTGGTACTATTCCAGTCTGCAGTATAAAACATTTGCTTACATACATTAAAAAGGAGATCATATAAAGAAATAAGAAAAGTGTTGGTAAAAATTAAAAAAAACCCAAAAACTGGTATTTATATATTGAGCATTGAGACTTCAAGATGTCTTCTGCAATGGCATTCCAAAGACTTTAGAAATATATTCTATAGCATTTGTCTTGTGAAAAAAGCATCTTGAGAAAGGTCAATATTATCAAAGAAAACAAATCTACGACACTGCTTGTACAACACGGAGAAGACCATTTTTAAAACAAATCTCCAAAGGGAAGACAGAGAACAGCGTGTCAGTGGCCAGCCACAAGCCTTGTGCAACAGTTAACTTAAAGGGAGCACTACTGAAACTCACAGACTATACACATCCTTCACTCAGACAGCAATGGAAAAGAACAAAATAGAGGGGGAGTTGTTTTGAAATACGGCAGAGAACTTATGGTTTTCCGATTATCTTTGATTAAATTAATGCTTCTCCCCTTGTCTTGCCTCTGCAGTTATAAACAACATAACCACCATTAACAACTACACCTATTCATTCCATCTAACAACATATATGCTGGATATATGTGATGAATGTACAATAAAAAGGGAGTTCCTATACAGACATACAGAAATATAAAGCCATGAAGATTTTCAAAGTGCCATGAATACTGAATTCTGGTGAATTTTTCTCCTTCCTGGTACAGTTTGGACCACATAAAAAGACATTAGGGGTTATTGGATTCTTCATTTGAATCTTGAGTCTCTCCTTTAGCTGCTTTGGTGAGTATATCCATCCATTTTATTTGTAAGTCTTCATCCTCGGCACTAAAATACATAGTCTGTTGGGATTGGGAGAGTTTGAAAACGTATTTTGATTCGAACCTCTCACCAGAATGTGGGAAGTCAACTTCATAGCCTGGCAGGGGTATACTGCGTGGAACCCGTCCATCCTAACACACACAGGCATGAGGAAAAGAAGTTGGAAATGAGTGGCACATCACAGTATGCAAGAGTTAAACCGGCTGAACATGTCAGCACAAAAGTCATTGCTAAAATTTTCTTGAAGTTCTACTTGAAGACATAGATTGGATTTTTAAATATGATTTATAGGACCAAACAGACATTTAAAAAGTATTCCAAAGTAGTTTTTTTCCATAATGGCTGAATTCTTGTGGCATGGGCCAACATGTTTGTGTGTCACAGTAGTCCTGCAACACCAAGACCGGTCCAGTCTTCCCAGCACTGCATCTTAAACAAGCCCCAGAGCCTTGCTTTATGCTACGGTGAATGCTGCCAGTGCAAGGGCCATTTGCCTGCTTACTCACCCAGCACGGCTGGTTTGTCAACCAAACCAAGGCAGCATTCCATGTTTGAAGGGGAAACAAGCCTCAAATAACTCATGGCCTGTGGCTAGCCATGACATGCTGATCTGGATTACACGATAAGCTGCATTTGAGTGTGTGTGTGTGAGAGAGAGAGAGGAGAGAGAGGGTGAGGGGGTGGGATTCAGTGGAAACTAGTTGGGGAACCTAGAAAGAGCTTTCTGACACCAGGCCAAAATGCAGCACCCAAGCCTTGAATCCTTGTTCTAGACTACTTCAATATACTTTTACTGTTTCTAACTTAGTGAACGAAAAATAATGGTTTCTGAGGCTCAGAATACATTCCCTCAATATTGATAAGAATTCTTAGTGATTTTTCTTTTTCCAAAACAGCAACATCACTTTAAATCAGCAGTGGGCAACCTGTGGCACTCCAGATGCTTTGCCCTCAGCTCTAACCAGCAGAGCTAATATTCAGGAATCCTAGGAGCTATTGCCCAAAACTTCTCTTCATTTGGCTTTGGAGAGGAATTATGTATAGAAATATATGGAGGTTCTAGACTTTTATTAATCATTCTCCCTGCCTTTCTCACACAGCTCACAAGACTCTAGTACACAGATGCCCATGATCTGCACATGCTGATTTCCACTACAATTTGAAAGGAGGTTTTTATTTGTTTATTTGTTTGCATATTCTGCCAGTAAACATATCAGTCCTCTTTATCATTCCAGAGCAGATGCCACAGAAAGATCTCAAGATTGCGTCTGCTGCTGTATTAATCTTGTGTGCTTCTGGTTAAATGTGCTTTAGCTCTAAGTATGCCAGAGCTGCGGAAATCTACTTTTTAAAGGCGGAAATCTACTTTTTAAAGGCATTTGAAAAGACATTCTCAGCATTTCTCCAATAGCACAGATCTGATGCAGTCAGAGAGTTGAAATTTATAAATAGGATGAAGATGTAAAGTCATGCTGTCTTACTGTCACAGCCTTGTGATTTTTCTTTAATTTGGAAAGATGTTTTCAAGTTCAATAAACCCTCTGAAGTATTCGTTTTGAAAAGAAAATACTTGCCTTAAAATTGAGGGAAATAATTAGCATAGTTTTATTCCTTTGTGTAAAGTAAAATGTTTTTCATGAATAAAAGAACATTCTCTTGGTATGTTTGCTAAGTTCGGATAACAGCAAGGTCATTCTGTTGCTGAAAGTAAGCCAAATGTGTCTAGCCCAGTGTTCTGCAGGCCTCTGATAACAGACACACACTTTACCCAGAACTAAAATGGGAGACGCACCCCACTCTGAAAAGAGGGCCAGGATTTCCGGTGTTCAGGGGAGCTTTGGCACCTGCTGCATTTCTGCAGGAGTCCCTGATCTGGGTATGTCATCCGACTGCCAAAGCAGTGGAACATAAAAGGTGCCCAACCTTTCTGGGCCATGAGCTCATCTGGCATTTGAAAATGTGCTCTGAGCACCACCACAAAGTGACTGCTATGGAGGTTTGAGAGGCCCATCACAAAAATGTTAGGTGTGCTCTGTGTGTGTGTGTGTGTGTGCACGCGCGTGTACAGGTTCTGTATGTGCTACCTGTTCTGGCTTCTCTTTCTCTGGTTCTGCACCATTTCTGGTCTTTGCTTGGCTCTTCTCCCTGGCTCTTCCTTCCTTCCTCCACATCTCTAGCTCTGCTTTCTTTCTCTTTTTCTCTGGTCCCTACAACAGCCCTTCTCTGACAATTCTCTCCCCCCCTCAGGTTTCTTTCACACTTTCTCTGCCTTTGCTTTCTCTCTCCATATCTCCAGGCAACTCAAATCAGCAATTTCTCCATTCATTTGCATGGATAGGAAAATGCCCTTATACCAAAACCCTGCTGGAGAAGGGGGAGTTCAGTCTACCTCTCCAAAGGCAGTTTTCTCTCTCCTTATTTATGTTAATTGAGGGATCTGTACTTGGACTTAATAGGGAAGGAAATAAGGATGGGGGGGGAGCTGGGGGGGGGAGCAAAGCTCTCCCCCCTTGCCAAAGACTCTGTTCGTTCCCCGCTTGCCAAGGACTCTGTCTGAGCTGACAGTGGTAGAATTCACCCCCTCACTCTGCTGGTTTTTGGCAGGGAAACTTTGAAGAATTGTGCCACAGACTTATATCAGAAACAGAAAGGCTGCCTTGGTCAAAATGGCTGGAGGGGGACAAACGATGGAATTGCCCTGTTCACGTGCAACAGGCAAAGATGGTTGGCGGGTGCCTCAGCCGGGCTCTGTGGGTGCCATGTGGGGGATACTGATTGTAAGGCTCTGTGGACCAGCCCTGTTAAGGGCAGGTGCCTCACACTAAATGGGCCACTCACAGCACTCAGCACAGGGACAGGATGAGCAGAAGAAGCTGACTCAGGAGGAAAAAGCCAGAGCCCTTGCAGGCCCAGAAGAAGCTCCTCACTGAGCACACAAGATGCTTCCAATCAATCAATCAGTTCCCCATGGCAGGCCAATGGCAAATTCCTGCAGACTAGTTCTCAAAGCGCATGGCATGCAGTTCAGGAACTACTATTCCAGTCTGTTTCTCAGAACATTATGCTTATTTTTTAAAACTAACATATAACATGCTGAAACTTTTACCTGATTTCCTCCTTGCAGATATAAAACAAGGGGTTCAGTCTTAGGAATGGTGACCCACACTTTACACCAAGTCTTTCCTTTTTCTTGGAACAAGAGATGACTGCAGAAAATGCTGTTTTCCACTCCCCAAACATTTTGCTTCTGTTAAACAAAACCAAAGAGGTCATGTCTATTCCTCCTCCCACACTGAAGGTATTTACAGTACATTATACAGATTAGCAATTTATATTTAAATATTTGTTCACACAGAGCAAATGTGCACAGAATTGTGATTACCAAGGAATCAAATTTTAACTACACAGGGGTTGAATAATCATTACATCCAATCAGGATTAAATGAACTAGGTATAGGTGCTGAATTACTGTTCTTGGGGAATGATGAGCTAAAAATCTGGCTCTGCAGTAGAAACTGAGAATAGCAATTAAGATGACACAGCTACTTTGAAGCTTAAAGTAGGTTGGATAAGAGTGAAAGTTAATGAGGAAGCTGCTTCAGCAGAAGTGAGGGGATCAGAAACTTTAGCCCCTTCCTGACCACGTATCTGTTTGAAAGGTTTGCTGGTACCTGCTCTTCAGCAGGTGTGCACAGGGCTGCTGCTGGAAGAGCCAAGCCATTCTGCATTCATGGCACATTTCTGTCATCTCCATAACACACTGCTTTCACTGATTTGCAAGCAAGCACAAAAGTGACAGAAAGCAGACCTTTCTAGAATATCCCTCTTTCCTGCTCTCTACACAACCTAACATAGGTGTGACTGAAGTTATACCAAATGCAGTGCTATAACCTGCTCCACAGGGTTGTTGGGAGTTCTATCAAACCTGGGACTCTTTTTATCATTGGCGAGAGAAACGGGACTATGCATAGATTTAAATATGTTTATAGTTTAACATAAAAGGAAAAAATGTGGGGGGCTGACCCAGTAGGTCTGATGTTTTCGATGACTGATGATTTTTAAGTTTCCTTTTTGTTAGGTTTATTAAGAACAAAACTTAAAAAAAAAAGGTTGTTGTGAGGATAAAATGGAGAGAAGCATGGAAAGGGCAGCACGTAGATATAATGAGGAAGCAGCTCCTGTTGTACATCTCCGGGCCTCCCCACAGAGGCTTCCAGGGCCCTCCTCCTCCACTCCTACAGCAGCACAGCTCCCCCTGGTGGCGCGATCGAGCAGGTGGCTGGTGCCGGCAGAACTGGTACGAGGCCTGTAGCCACTTGCAGGAATTAGAGCCCCTGCCATCAGGGCCATGGGAGGGTCTAAGAAGGCTGCTCAGCTCCGCCTGCTTTGGCCACAGCAGCAGGCACGTCTGTGGTGGATGCTTCACCTGCACATGAATCCCGTCTGTTCCTGGCCCTGCCTTGGCTCTGGTCCAACCATGGCCTCTGCCAAGTAGCTAATCCTTGTCTGCAGGTGCCTCCAGCTCTGCCTGCCTTGTTGGTTTGTGCCTGGCCTTCTGCTGCTCCTGACTTTGCCTTTATCTACAGCCCTGTCTTGCCTTGCTGAGATCTGACTCCTGCATATGCTGCCCTTTGCGTTTGCCTCTGGCCTTAATGGCTCTTGCCAAATTCTCCACTGACCTCTCACCCCTGGTCCTGGAGCTCCAGTTCTAATCACCTGCTGCTTACATCCCAGAGGCCTCACAGCATCCCAGTGAGGTGGGTTAGGCTGCCTGTCTGTGAATGGAGCAAGTCCACCAGTGAAATGCATGACTGACTGGGGGACAGAACAGAGTTTCCCAGTCCAGAACTCTAACCACGAGGCCATACCGGTTCTCATCCAATAATAGTACATATGTATCTGTGGGGAGCTGCTGGCTTTCCCAGCTTCTGCCTTTATGCATGTCCAGAACTATTTAAGATGGAGCCATCTTCAATCCAACCCTCCTCCTGCAGCAAGACAGACTGCGGAACTTCTCATCTGCTATGTGAGCGGGTATGAGAGAAGGCTGGACCACATGAGCACCAAGGATGGAAAAACGCCTCTTTGAAGAAATGCAGAAAAAAGAAGCAAGGCGGGGTTTGGTGAACTGAAGCGACAGAGCCTACAGTGGCCTTTCACGGACCTGCCTGGAGTAAGCACTTCAAGGCTTAGCTTTCAAGATGTGGAAATCCTCCTCTGCGATACGAGTCAGAGGAGGGAGACGATTCAGGTAATTTCCCACAAGAGCTTTTTAACAAAAATGGGGAAGGGCACTTCTGAATGGCAACAGTGTCGCTATTAGAGGAGGCTTTTGTATCTCAACTATTCAGAGAAGTTGTGCATCTGCTAATGGTGGCCAACCCTTGAAGAGCCACCGAGCTCATGAAATATTAATTTAAGGGAAACACTTGAACCCCTAATCCTAGAGGCATTTGTTCGGATGAAACCCATAGATGTCAGTCAATTACCTCCTGGTAAAAAACAGCATCCCAGACTTTGCATCTCCTTTGTGCATTTTACCCAGATCTCAAAGATGCTGGGTAAAATGTCTAAAGCTAGACATTTTACCCAGAGCATGTCTAGAGCTAAATGTCTAACCCTATTAAGGAAAAATATTTCATACCTCCTGAATCTGAACACTGTGGAGCTTTGCTTTACAAAGCAGATCACATTTCACTGGCTTTTAAACATTTGCATGGCTTTTAGGATTACTGAAAAACTTGGATTTTGTGGGAAGGGAAGGCAATGATTTCCCCTCTATAAGAAGATAGCTCTGCTACAATAGTTTTATGTGAATTATACTGGAATACGCTAAAGGAATAATCCTATGCATGTATAGACAGAAAAAGGTCCTACAATTCCCAGCATGACTAGCTAGCATGAAATGTGGGCAGTTGTAGGAATTTTTCTGTCTGCATATGTAGCCTAAAGGTGCTACCTCTAACATGATCACTCAGAGAAGCACATTTCAAAAATGGAAACAAAATTTATGAAAGTTGTTTGGTGGACTATATGAACTCTTTATCTTTGTTCCTAAAAGCAACAAGTTTTAAGTAAGTGGATCACGGTGATTTCTATGTTTTTTCCACTGCAGGAAAGCTATTTAAGAGAGTTGTTGGAGGTCTGATATGGTTTATGAAATAGAAGCTATCTGTGGGAGATTTTAACAGTAGAATTTGGGTAGAGGCAAGCAGTAAGTAATCAGAATAAGATTAGATGTTAGAAAACCAATTTTGGTAGGGAAAAAGACTGTATAATATGGCTAGATATTAATTCTGGAAAGGAAAAAGGCATAGATTTAAAATAACATGCATGGTTAGTCAGATGATGGGATGAGTTATGTTGTTTGCATTTCAATTACTTACATCATACTGAAACCAGTGTTAGCATTGCTGTGCCTGCAGAACCTTTGGCATCACCAAGATCCCATTTCTCCCCTCTTATTCCCACCACGGTTTCTTCCTATCACTGCCCTCAGCTCAGCAATGAGGATGCAGGAACTTGAAGCATCCTCACTGCTTCCTGCTCGCTTTCTGCTCAGGTGAGTGCAGGTGAGCTGGTGTGTGGAGGTGGCAATGGACAGGTGGCAGAAGTGATGGAGACGGGGGCAGTTGGGCAGGAAGCTGCAGTGGCAGGTCGTATGGTGGAAGTGGTGGGCTGCAGGATAGAAAAGGCAGGGAGAGAGAAAGAAGAGGACAGGAGGAGAGGAGAAGCAGCAGAGAAAGGAACTCCTAAGTGGGTGTGAGAGGAGGAGAGAAAGAAAACAGGACAGGAGAAATTGCAGGGAAAGGGGCTGGGAAACCTAGGGACACCAGGTGAGGAAGAGAGGAAAGGTGGAGTCTGCCAAGTGAGGAAAAGAACGTACTGAGCACACGCACTGCATGCAGAAATTCCCAACAACCTCCAACCCCACTGAACACATTTGCTTCCTCTGTATTGCAAGAGAGCAGGTGAATTATCATGCGTTTGTGCCTGCCTGCTTGTCTCCCTGGGTAAATGTGAATTCACTTCTAATGAGTGAATGCATGCTTTGTATAAAGAAGGTCCCAAGTCTCAGCCACCCCATCTGTACTACTTCATGATATTTTCCTGTATGATCTTCTCCTCTTCAGTGGCTTTGGTGACTTGACTTTTTTTCTGGGCTGTAATTCTAAGCACCATGGACAGATTCTTTAAAGTTCAGACTAAAGTCTGGCATGGCTGCTTGTTGACTCACACTCTCCTCCCACCACACCGTTCTGGGATCGCAAAGGAACCCTGGTCCACTTGGCATGCCTCCCATGCCAAAGCCTTAAGAGCAGAGAGACACAAGCAGGGCACATTCCTACACCCACTACGGCTGTTTCTGTGGGAACGATCTCCTGCTCCACCTGCAACCTTTCTTCTCCACACACAGCCGTCCAGGTCCCACCAGTCTGCAGCCTAGATGATGAAGCACTGTGAGGTCAACCTGACAAACGAGGTTAACAGCGGTAACCATGCTTTGGCTAAAACGATCATTTTAGGGTTGGGTAGCAAGATAACATACCTCCATGCCAATCTTTTTCTTTTGTTCTCCTGCACTCTCTGAGCCTGAGATGCACAGGGTTGCTGATGGCAGCTGAAAGCAGTCTTTGCACACACGGTTGTTGCGGCTGTTATCAGCAAATGTTTTAAATTCAGAGCATTTTGCACAGATAACCTAAATGAAAAAAAACAAGTACTTCATTCTTTATTAAAAATTAAATCTTGGTTAGTACCAGTTTCTGAAAATAATATTAATAATACAAGACTTTTAGGTCACATGGCTGAGATATAGCTCCCCTTCTGTCTCCCCCAGTTACTTGGGATTTTATTGCTGTTCTGTGATATAATCTAATATTCTACCTATAGAAATAAAGGCAAAAACACACCTATATGGGTTTGTCTTTCTGTTCAGCGTTATACTGTTTTTCATAATTATGCTGGATAAAAATATTTATTAGATTTCCCAGTAGGTCATCCAAATGTACTTTTGAAAGTATCCATGCCATGAAAGGATTTATTTATTTAAAGTTTTTCTATCCCATCCCCTACAAATGTCTCAGGATGGTTTACAATAAATAAAGGTTTTTGGACATATGACATCCCCTTTCCATCATATTGTACTAAGCATCACGCACACACTTCACCCACATTTTGGTAATACTAAACCTGATCTCATAAATGCATCACTATTTACAGCAGGATGTGTTCCAGAATCATTGCAGCGAGTGCGGCAAAGCACTGATCTGTGAGCGGAATACAACCCACAGCGCCTTTCCACCCAGACTGTGAGCAATGCCCGCTTGCCCCACGCAGGACGGAATTGGCCTTCTTAAAAGCCTGCTTTTGTAGCCCTCCCCAAGCACTAGAACCCAACTTCTGTGCTGAAATTTTGCCTGAAAAAACCTTTAACTGACGCTAGTAGAAGGCACTTTTCAAAGCGAACTGGAGAACACAGGGGATGGTGAGGGATGCATGTATGGGAGCGTATGCATGACTATCCATATGCAGAAGCGGAAAAGCATCTATGTGCTCGTGCATGAGAGAATGTGGACTGGTCCTGCCTGCCCATTGCCTTCATTGGCATTGCCCACTTTTGGCTTTCCCCACCGCTGCCTGCAACACATGACGACCAAGGCCATGTAGCTCACAGGCTGAAAAAGATCCCCCAACCCTGCAAATATTAAAACTATTCCCACAGAAAATAGTTTTCTTTAAAGGAACAAAATGGCAACCATGAAGTAACCACTGAAAGAGATGGCGCCCACACATTAGGACTCAACACCTGCAAACTAAAGGGTAAAGAGCAACCTATTCTTTCCTGGGGGCTCCAAATATCACCTCAAAACAGGAATCGAACAGGAAATGTCTAAAAAAGACACTTCTTTTGTAACTTTTTAGAGCTGTCTTGATACTGGCTGAACCAATCATCTGATTCTGCTGATGTAGGAAGAGTAACGGTGGTGTGCTGACTGTGGCTGTGAGTGACCTGATTAGTTCGTCTATTGGAAAGGCAGTAACTGGGAAAATAGAAAATGAAAACCAGCATATTGACTTCATCTGTGTACAAAACCAGAATATTGCTGCAGCAGGCTGAAGAGGAATGTATCACTGCTGATGAGGTACCTCAGTGACTCTGAAGGCAGCAAAAAAAAAAAAAAAAGCTGTGTGCCATTGTCGCAAACGTGCATTATATCCCATATGACTCTGTAACGAGCAGAGCTAACCAAGCCTTTCTCAAGTATCCTCTGTCACTAGTAAAATTTACAGCAGAGATCACTCCAGCTAATACTGGGGAGGAAGCAAAAATAAGAGGTAGAAATTTATGTATTTATTATTACAGTTCTATTTTTCTTCTAGCAAGGGCCCCAAGGGAGTTTATGTGGTCCTTCTCCTCCCCATTTTATGGTCACATCAACCCTGTGAGGCAGGTGAAGCAAAAAGTCAGTAACTGGAACAATGTGAGCTCCGTGGCCCAGTGGGAACTTGAGCCCAGAATCCCAAGTCGCAGTCCAGCACTCTAACTGCTGTGAGAGAAGAGGCTCTCCGTGGCTAGTAGCCTTGCTGGCCATGTGCCACCTCCTCTCCCATACACCAGTTGCTGAGGAGCTGGGCAGGAGGAGGCCTGGCACCCGGCCTGCTGGAGGACTCCTGTGGGCAGCTGCTTTGCCCCCGTGTGTCTGGAGTGCTGGGCAGGATGGACCTCGGGTCTGATCCAGTGTGGCTCTTCTTACAGTCTTGTGCCGCACAAAGGTAATTTAGATAGGAATAAATCTGGCACAGTGACAGAACATCTATAGAAATTGCATCCTGGCACCAAGTGTCAGCATTAACTATTAAATAAAGATCTATCTATATTCGGATAATGTATATCGTGCACGTTAAATGGACTGGGTTTAAGCTCAGCAGTCATTGTGGAGGACTTTCTGGGGAATCTACTATGAGAAATGGAGTGTGCTCATTAACTAGGTGGCAACTGGACAGCAACAAGCCAAAGTATCTCAGCACCTTTTAATTAAAGGGATCTGCAATGTACGAGCCTAGATATAATAATAATAATATACTTATGATAAGACATAAGCTTAGATATACTAATAATTGTATATTAGATATACAATGTACTAAGTTCGTACCATAGCTGAGATGCAGAAGCTTAAACCTTAACCAGCTTACTTCTCTGCGCAGGATCTATCTCATTATAGGCTGGCTTTCCATAGGTTAACTTCAGTGCCTCGCACTTCATGTGCGGATGCCCTTCATAGAAAGGCAGCTGCCAAGTTTCATCAGCTCCACAAGCCTTTTAACACTTCCTCTTCCATCACCTTTGCTCCTGTATTTATGTCTGCTGCTCCTAGGCACTGCCAGCCATTCATGACTGGTTGCTACAATTCAGTACAATTAATTTAATTTAATCAGTAATTCTTTATTTCCAATCCACAGATTGTATTTACAAGATTTTTTTTAACAAAGAAAAACCATTATATTGATCTCGTTCATTAACTGAGTCTTGAAGAAGGAAGGTAAACATTTATTTTAAAAAGAAGTTTGCATGTGTCCAGAGCATGCTTAACAACATGCAATCATCTTTACAGCAATGTTTGCATTTTGGTTGTGACTGATACTGACTATGATTTTAAGTGTGTCTGAAATAGACAAGGAATCAGTAGACATTCCAGGTGCTGTGGACTGTGGAGCCTTCCAGTTTCATCCCGTCAACAGGCCTGCCCCTTTCTTTACCCCATCATCAACTACATGGGGGTGAGAAGGTTCTTCTGCGAAATCTGCGCTACAAGGATAAAAATTCCCTGCAGTGTACATTTCATTTTACATTACATCAAATGATCATCAGACCACTATAGCCACTTGTTAAGAATGCACATTCTCTAAAAGGAAAGAGACACCAAGCCAGAGAGATACTGTGAAAAGCACCCTGCCTTTTCACCTGCTTAATGATCTGGGCACATGCAAACCTTCATGTGGGTTAGACGGTGTTTCTGCTTTACAGCCAAATTCCTGCAGCACTGCACTACTGACTGAGCCCCTTGAAGTCCTTGTTCTGCTTATTAAACATGGTTTCCTGATTTTCAGAAAACAATTGCCTCTGTGATGGTTATGTGTTGCCAGCACCAGCTCATTCCATGGATGTTGGATGAATAGAAACATCCATGTTCAACAGGGGTGCAGAGCCCCGGGGGCCACAAAGGATGCTGGCTTGGGAGCCATTACACATACCTCCACAGACGTACAAGCATACATTCACATATCCCAACATTCACATATCCCTGATGCAGAATATGCTTTCCCCACTGTTAGCAGTGGCAGGAAAAGAATGACCTGGGAAAATATCAGGGAAGGGAGCGTGCAGCAGTGGGATGTGGAAGTGGTTGTGGGCACCCATGGGATTTTCTGATTTTCTTGTTGTGAATTAATATGATAGACAGAAGGTAAACTGCGTAACTTAAGTAAATTGTAAACTGTCCCAAGATGTTCTGTAGGGAACAGGATAGAAAAGCTTTAAATCAATCAATCAATCAATCAATCTACTTTCACACATATCAAGCCCTCATCTATCTATTTATGTAAACAGCCTTGTGCATTTTTATTGAAAGACAGTATAAATGTTTCTATTGTGACCAACAATACTTAAAATGTTATATCCTTTTCTTTATGGAATGTTGTAGTGAACCCCCAGCTTGTTAAAAAAACCTGAATTTTTATTTCAATACTCACTGCTCCACATTGCTTGCAATGGTGCCGTCTTTTCGTAATGGAGTTAAAGCTTTCACTGCAACTTTTGCAAGCCTGTTTCTCTTTGTCTCTCTTCGTTTTGGAAGATTTTCTGCAGCATTCAGGCTGAAAGGGCAAGTTAATTTAAAAAGAAGTTAAACAAGTTTACAGAAAACCAATAAAGGACAGCTTGAATTTTGTTACATAAAATAGAGACGGGCACTTGTAAGCAGAAATTTAACATGCATTAAATGTGCAAGATGTACCTTAAATCAAGCTCTGCCTTCTTTGGCTAATAAAGCTGCCATAGCTAAATGACCCCTGACTTTGGGAAGGATGGTTAGATCAGCTATTAGACAACCTCTCACAATGGTGGAACTTGCTAAAACTCCACTCGGTAACAATGATAGATTTTCTTTAAAGATTATTTCTGTGCTTAAGGTCTTTTCACCCTTCCTGATATGTGAGCTGCCTTCTTCCTCAGAAGATACTTCCTGCTGCTCTAGTAAGATGTGAGATGTATGCAAGAGAAGAGGGATGTTACTTGCAAATCTTTCGGTGTCTCTAGCTGGCATGAGACTTCCTTGTAGGAAGAATTTTAGACAATGGGATTTGGAGTGTGATGCAGAGCTTCCCAGTGAGGTACAGAACATTCTCAGGAAATATGGAAGTATCTCCTTGACCCTTCCGTGTCCCAGTTGCATTCATCACCACATGTTACTCCACAGGAGACTCAAACTACAACTTGACACATTTTGCAAATCTTTGCTTCAGGGACAGCAAACAGAGTGGAAATGGAAGATTTTAATTGTTTAATAATATCCGCTACCAGCAAACCACCAAATTGCAGCACAGCCCAAAATGAAAAATTTGTCCCATTTCATTGAAGTAGTTTAATTTATGTTAACATTCTTGCCCTGCGGAGTGAAACAGAAAGATAGCTATGACTTGTAATAAAACTTTATGGAGCGTGTTACAGCCTTGCTAAGGGTGCAATCCTATTTCAGTTTAAGCAGAAAAAAAGGTCACTCAGCTCTCAGCATTGCCCGGCCAGAATGGCTAGCTGGGAAATGCTGGGGCTGGAAGGATTTTTCTGTGCATTAACAGATGGCCCACTAAAACTCTAACATAAGCCCCTTGCTGCTTTTACGACAGGCCATTGCGTCAGAGAGCATTTCGGCATGGCACTTTGTGTTAAGATCTAATTATGCTAACAACTAAGTTACAAGCGGCACCTTAATTTCGTTCAGGTGTACACCAAAGCTTTGGGAAGAAACGGAAGTAAGAAATCTCATGTCGCAATCCTATTGTGCACGCAGGGACCACAGTTCTGCCACCAGCCTGCACTTTTACCTAAGTGCCACTGCTACCTGGCACACACCTGGCACAATACCATCTTTGCTTCCTAAGTCTTGCTACGTACGTACTTCTGACAGACTCCTGAAAAATTGCCCAAGAGCTGTGCAAAAAGCACGGGGTGGGATTCCTGGTCAGTTCCCACCTACTCCAACAAAGGTCTGGGCGGCAAAGGGAGATCCAGCCCTCCTCAATCCTCCAAAGGATATTGAGGGCAACAAGCAAACAAAAGTCTTCAGAACCTGATCTCAGTACTATAAAGGTAATCTCCATTCCTCACCAAAAGGATTCCTGCTGCAGCTATGAGATTACTGAAATTTATATTATTCTCATCTGTTTAACCCCGTATCATACTATGGCTTTTGAAATACATTTGGAGTTCACACAGGAGAAACACAGTCTGTTGCCACTGAAAGAATGTTAGAAGGAGTGCCAACCTACAAACACAAGAGCAACAACGCCTCTGGGTGCTTCCAGACAGAGAGCTGCTAGCTGCGCTGGTCAAAAGACTATGCAGCTTTTCCTCCTCACTGGGTTTTTACAGAAAAACAGATGGAAAGAGCACTAGGCAAACACAGAGGGTTACGAGTGGAAGACAATGTCACCTGGACCCCTGAGAAAACTGTACAAGAAAAGGCTCATCTGGAAGTACCCTCTTTTACCTGGCTCACAGGACACAACGTGGCCTGTTAACCGACCTCCCGCATACTGCTCATGTGCCCCAATTACTCTCGACAGGCACAAGTTATGATGGTCTCCAAATCCAGAAAAGATGGTTAAAAAGGCACCTATAACCCCAACCCCAACCCCAACCCTGTTGTGGGACGGCTAGTGGTCTGCCAACCAGCCCAGCTGCCCACCCTTGCCTGGTTCAGGTGGCCATGGGTAGTTAGAGGAATTAGTCAGCCCGTGCCAGGAGCAGTTAACAAGCGCCTGTGGCTTATTAATCTCTGCTGAGTCAAGCAAACCTGGCCTTTGGAATGAAAATACAGACAGACCCCATGTTACAAACAAGTTCCATTTCTGAGAAAATGGAAAATCATCTTTAAGTTGAATCTGTATGGAAACTTGATCACATACAGTTGGCCCTCTACTTTTGCAGCTGTTATGGGTGCAAGATCCCTGTGAAAGGGGAAAAAATGTGAACAGGCCTGCTCCCGCCCCCAAACTCACCAGTGCCTCATCTTTGCAATGAGGAAATGTGGGAGAGATTTCCCTCTCTGAATGGGCAGGGCAGGAAGGCCTGCTCTGGAGGCCTCCCTCTCTCACCTTTTGCTTCCACTTTCTCTATGGTGATGACTATTTCCAGCAGTCACTTAAATATAATAATAATAATAGGCTTTATGGTAGTTCGTAACTCAGACACTGATTACTTGGGGATTGCCTGTAGCTGAATCACATTTCGCTTTGGTATTTTCTTTTTCTTTTTTCAATTTTAGCAAAAGTGTCCAGCTTATCTCAATATCACATATTTCAATGTGCCAAGGTTCATTATCAAGCAAAGCAGAATTAAGAAGGCTGCTTTGAGGTTGCTATCATCACCACCAAGAGGTTTAGCTGCATAAGTCAAAAGCAAAAGTCACTGGCAAAATGTATCATAGGCAAATAGCATAAGGGTTTTCCCCCTTTTTTTTAAAAAAAGGAAGATTTAAACAGGTCATGCATTTGAGAATAAAAAGGGGGACTTGTTATACAACACAAACTTTAAAAGGAGGTGCTTTAAAGTAAATACTTCTGTAGTTCAAAAAAAAAACACAAAAACCCAAAACCCTGAAATGCCTGGAATATTCTGCCTTACAATTTAATTTTAACAAGGACCAAAGAGCCACAACAATCTGCAAAAGTTTCTCACAGTATTTAAGCATCGTTCTTTCTCACCCAGACAGTTGAGCAAATGCCAGGCATACGGATGAGCAAACGCCCGGCCCAGCTGCCATGGAACAACAGCTGGGACTGCGGAGACCGCCTGGAGTGGTTGCAACATAACCTGGCCAGAAAATAACCTGCCCTGTCTTTGCAGCTCCCCACCAACGAGTCACATGAAAGTGCTAGACAGTTGCAGCAGCATTTCCAAAGGCTCACACCATTTCCCAATCCCAGACCTTGCCTAGGCTTTGCTGAGTGGACTCAGAAATCGCTCAGGGCTTCATAACACTCGACTGCATCACCCTATTGTGCTCTGGGCCAGGTTACCAGACCTGCTGCTTCCAAGTCTACTAGGAAATTATCCTGGCTACACCTCACGCCACGTGTCATTTTCGCTTGAGTCCTCCGAGTTTATCAAAATGTGTCTTGACCCGTAAGAATCCCCCAAGTGGATGCTTGTTAACCGTAGTTCTCGGTTCCAGAACAGTGCTTTGTGAATGAACACAGTGGGGGGATAGCAACAATTAATCTAACTGATGAGTCTTTCATTGACTAAAAATGTGTCTGTAATCAGTTAGGCTTAATTTAATTCCATGTTAAATGCAAGCTCTTACAAACCCTGTAGGCAGAACTGGCCCTCTCCCGAGGCACAGTGAGCTTCAAGACCCAGTGCAGACGGGAAGAGGCAGCAAACTCTGACTTCCCACCTGCTCTGCATGGCCCACCCACTGCCCTCACGCTCCCACCCAGACTGAACGGGGCTGGTGGGGCTCCCCTGGTGCTCCCCAGAGCATATTGGCCCTACGCCCTCAGAGGGGCCCTTCCAGAGTGCAGCACTATGGTGGAGTGGCCACAGAGAGTGCCTGTGCCCCTAAAGGCAGCAGAGGCTGCACCAAAGTGGATCAGGCACGATCGGTGGACATCTAGACCCACCATGCTGCGCCCCAAGGAAAGCACTGAAGGGCGCTATTCCCACGGAAGAATGGGATTATCTGTGCTGCTGTGGCAGTAGCAGATGGACACCCAGAGCCTTTTCTGGGACACTTCACAAAATATCATGCTCGGAGGAAGGAATCCTTCCACCAACCATGGCATGGAGAAGTGAGATGGATCACAACTGCCGCAGCCACTTCTGCATGGCAATTTTTTTGAAAGGCAAGAGGAGAATCCTGGAGAAAGAGGTGGTGGGTTTATTGTGCTATTTTTCTGCCTTCAAAAGAAGGGTTTTATTCATATGCAAATTTACAGCAATTTAATCAACTGATCAATTGCTAAGCTGAAACTCATATGATTAACTAGCTCCAATTTCTTTCATCAGATGACAGTCCTAATTATAAAGAATACAAAGTATGGCATAGCTGAATCAGACAAAGGAGTTTAGTTGAGTGCAATGGTTTTTCACGCAAGAAGCACCATCTGATATCTAAACCAGCCCTAATACTCTTGCTTTTTCTAACAAAGGATATCTGCATAGTTCAATGCAGTGCTTGTACTGAAAATGGCCACCAGAAAGGAATTACTGCCCATTTCCCAGCTGTCAGAAGAAAAGCCACTCACCAAATAATTCACAGATTTTCTAGTGGAAACACAATATGGATAAACTTATTTATCTAATCTTTAACCTAGTCTTAAAGAGGCACAGAGCAGACATGTGCCAAGTAATGATGGTTTGTTTGTTTGTAGTGACTTCCTAGACTTTTAAAAGTGCAAGCCTTCTTACGTTTCTTTTTCATTTCGGTACTTTATTTCTGTTCCAAAAGCAATTTTTAAAGAGTGCAAGCCTGTGCCTATCTATACAGCACAGAGCCCTACGACTCCCAGTTTTCCCCAGTCAGCAGGGCATTGCACCCTAAAAAAAACCAACCATTTTTCAGTAGCATTCAAAGCAAGAATAAAAATTTTTGCCAGCATAGGACCTTGTATTTCCAAAAGAAGCAAATCATACAGTTTTACTTTAGAAAACGGGTCAGGGTACCTTTAGAAGTGATTTTAAAAAGATAAATTTTTGTAAATAAAATCCAAAAAGAGAATACTGGCAAGTGAATTACTGTGACCAGAACAGGTTTCTTTCTTTTTCTTTTGCATACTTTCTTTCTCTCTCTGCCCCTGCTCAAAAACAAAGCATCTAACCATTTCCTTTAATGAAGCACCAGTCTCCCAATTGCTTACCCCACCAGATGTGCTGCTTCCATCTGTCCCTGGCATCGATTCCACAGAACTTGTGCTTGCTATCTGGTGGGGAAGACACAATTAAATAATTTCAGTACTGAGGTTGTCTTCAAGGATTCTAAGTTATATTAGTTCAAAGAAGAGCACTTTCAAGTGAGAATCACAGTGTTTCTAAATAAAATTACTGGGCTCTCCAATAATTCCATTTTATTAGCCCTTGTGCTGGCCAAGAACCACTGGGAAGAGTTACAAAGGTGGCTATGTCAGTGCAACATCAAACCCTTCTTGTGCTGACCTGGCACTTGCAACCTGACCCAGAATCATAGTGCAGCATTGCTACACTCACACCGGATACCAGATTATGTAACAGCATTACAAAAATCTACCATTCCTCATAAAATGGTAGAGGAAAGTTCCAACAGCTAAAAGGCTTTTCAACTACTATGGAGCCAGTATGACTCTCAGGTAATATTTGCTAGTAAGCTTTTAAGAGACCTCATAATAGATTTGCTCCATCTAACACAGAGTTACAAGAGATGAGTAACCATAACTGGTGATCATTTCCTCACCCTCTTCCTCCAAGGACCTCACATTTTATCATTTTTCCAAGCTGAGGATTGTGCTTGACTGCAACAAAAGCAAATTGTCTAAGGAGCCAGCGAACGGCTTACCCAAGTATGGATTCAAATCCCAGTTCCAATGACCATCCAAACACTGTAGCTATTATACCACATCAGTAACAATAGTGCACAAAATGGAACATTTTGGGTCTAACATAATGTAAAAACACCATACTAAAAGTGCTCAAAAGCTAATGATTCTATTTGTATACAGATCATGACAGTGCCTCTTTAGCAGTACACTAATGATTGAATTATCTTGTGAGCACTTGTGGGAAACATTTGAAAGTAAACCAAATGATGATAAAGGCCTTCAGAAATGCTACAAAGATAGGCTGCGTATCAAAAATGAAAACTGCAAACTTTGGTCAGCAGCAGAGACTGAAATGCATCACCGAAAGAGCCCATGGAATTCTCCTCACTTACTGATGAATCTGGGAGAGGCTCATCTTCTTGAGAAAAGGAGCTATTAAATGCCCTAAAGGTTTCACTGTTCTGCTTGTGTTTTTCTATTGTTGCTTGAATGACCTGGAATAAAATGTCAAGAAAAGTTATGTGTAAAAGTAACCAGCAGTTTCTGGAAATTCTAGGTTAGACAATAACACCCTCCATGTATATTTTGAAAGGTATCGGTGGTAGATGTCACTGCTTAAAATGTGATTCCTACTAAACTGTTTTGGGTGCCCCTTCACATTTTTAGTTCTCTGATTGAATACATATATAGACATTCATGTAGCATTTCTAAACCATTGATAACCGATATACCTGAAAACAGACATGGTATACACAAGCTGAGGCTGCACGTTCTGCCAGAGGGGTGAAAGGTCTTGTGCCAAGGACACAGACAAATGACAAGGCAGACCTAACAGTTCCCAGCTCCAGAGCGCCATCTTCCTTTCCAATGATCAAACATGTGTGAGGCTATAGCATCCGTGCGATCGGGGCCTTCTTGGGCTCTCGTCTTTGGGTCTCCATCTTAATGAGAGAAGAGGCTCCTTCTGTTATGGAATCTGCTTTAATGTAATTTTGGCATCAAGAGAACAGCTTTTTATTTTGTCTTCTAGATGTTGCTTCTGGACAACCACATGTTGGGGATTACATGAGCCGAGCCAGCTGGAGCTGGTGGTCAGACTAGAAGGCACTTATTACTTGCTTTTTTTTCTATGTTTCTATTTTCTTCTTGTTTCACAAAGCTTTGATTATCTTTCCATCACTGAACTGTTGTTCTTATGGCAAGCTTCCCTGAAAATTTTTTGCAGAGTGGAGTAAAAATGCTAAGGTATCTTCTTTGTTAGTAAAGAGGAATAGCAAAAATGGCTTCCGTTCAATGGACAAAAGTAGGCAGCAAAATATGATTATATTAACCTGAATCCATTCTTTCTTCTCTTCTTCTGTCCTAAAATGAGAAACAAAGACAAGTTTGCTTTCCTTACTGCAGTTTCAATAAGTTAGTGCACAGACAGAGACATTTCTAGTGCAATATTTCCAGCAGCAAGTTTAATATCTGAAATGTTATAGGCAAACATCACACAGCTATTGATCTCTATAGAAAATTATGAAAATTCATGATCTTTTGCTAAAATGGGATATGCCAAATCTAAATTGATTCTGGAAGGACCAAGGCTGGGGAAGTTAAGTGCTTCTTGTTCAAAATAAGTGGATATATACAGAACAAATTCTGTACCTTGTTTGTAGTTCCAATGATCTCTTTTTTCCAGTTATTGAGAATGTATGGGCTGCATTTTGCTTGACAATTTCCTGGACCTAGAAAAACCAAGTCAGTATTTTGGCATTTGTAAAAGTTGAAATCCTATATCTACCAAATAATTCTTCACATTTTCTAAATGAATAGGAGCAAAAAGGGTGAACCAAGAACTAAGTACATGGTGAATTACTTTTTCACTTTCCCCTGTTATGGGCTGGATCCAGGCTGGTGCTCTTTGAACTCAGAGCTCTTTTCATTCATGGAAGGAAGTAGGATCCAGCCAAGTCTTCCCAAGAAATGGATGGGGTGCTGATTTTCTCCAGCTCCACCTTGTCTCTGAAGCATCCAGGGCCACCTCCACTCTGCTTGACAGGATCCCCTGCTTCTCCAGAACATTGAAAGTGGCACTAGGGATTGCAGGAGAAGGGAGCATCATGGAATGCTGTTGCCATGCCCTCTTCCTCCAATGCCCACAAACCAATAACTCTGCTGCCATATGAAGTACAAGCAAGGATCTCTAAATGTGAGCAGTAAAAGCGATTGCTACAAGCTGCTTTGAATCTAATCCATCTTGTATTTGTGCTCAGCCTGGACCTGGAGAAGGGAATGGATGTGGCCTCCACCATATTTCAATTCAGCGATAAGGCATATAGCTCAGCAGCTTTTCATTAGCATGGAGGATGCTGCTTGTTTTGCGGCCTTTCCCAAGCAGGTGCTTCCAGATGACTTGGACTACAATTCCTATCAACCGTATACAAGACCAGCATTGTCTGTGCTGCCTGAGGATGTGGGGGCCTGTACTGTGACAGATCTGGAGCGCAGCAGATTTGGGAGGGCCACATTAAAACATGCCAAACTGCCCCTTTTAATTTTCTGCAAACAAAGCACAGTTAATGCTGCCAGCATTTTACCTTGCTTAAGCATTTGGGAGTGGTCAGACTGCTTATTTTTCAGTTAAGAGACATTCTGTGACGAGACTGCAAAATTCTAGAAAAACAATGAGCATAAAAGCAAGAAAACAAGATACAAACCTGTAACCCTGCAATATCGATCTTTTCTCGAACACTGAATTTCTGTCCCATCAATCTCAGCTTTGGCACACAGTACAATATCATGCTGTTAAACTGCAATTGACAGAAAATTCTTATTATTAATAGCATGTAGGAATCAGCTCAATATTTATCCACAAGGTTATATGGTTTATCAGTTATGCTAAATAGTCATATTTTATTTAATTTATTCAAGAACGTTGGAACAGAAATATTTGCGCTATTAACAATATTTCTTTTCACACTGCTAAGGGAAATGTATCAGAACCTGAGTCTAATGATATTTCAGCGGGAGATTGAGAAAAGTCTCATTTTTGCTCTAAATACTATGAATTCAGGCCTAAATACTCTCCTTTTTTCAAGCTAGGAGTCTTTCTTGACTACATTGCTAACAGAACAATTCTATGTGCTTTTGAGACATGCAATAAATCAGCATGCTCTCCAATGCCTGCGAGTATTCTATCCATATTCTTTCAACCAAGGATATATGGACTTCATTAAATCAATTGTGCCTGCATTTTTAAAGCATCTTTCATTGCACTGTCTGCTTATTGACGGAATCTGATTTTGTACAAAATTCACTGCTTTTTTGCAGCCCCAAACCAGCTGGCTTCCTGCACTCAAGGAAAAAAACGGAAATTCTCTACTCACTGATGAATGTCTGTTTTCCTCTAGGGAAGGAGGTCAGCCAACCTCATTCCAGATGACTTCTACAGAAGCCTCAACAACCTTGCGCACACCTGAAGATCATCTGAAGAAGTCAAATGGGCACTGACAAACACTGGCTACCTCAGATAGGACATGGATTTGTAGGAAGAATAAACTGGCAAAACTGGGGAAGGCCCCACATCCAGGAAAAACCAAGATGGAAACTGCCTTCTCGCAAATTATCTGACCTCCTTCATGCAAGAAGAACAGAAGTTCAGCAGAAAGTAATGAATTTCCATTTCTCCTTTGAATTGACTTTTTCCACTCCCAGCCTCTAGTCTTGCTATTTGTCCTCCCTCTACCATTTTGCCTTGCTATTTCTTCCTCACATCCAGCCTCCAGCCCTGCTATTTATCTCCCCATTACCTCTTTATCTGTTTCTTTCCTTCTAACCATGCTGTTTCTCTCCATCCTTCCCATCTCTCTCCCTCCTCTCCGTTCCTAGCCCTGCTTCTATCCATTTCTAGCCCTTTTCCTGATTCAGCCACAGAAACAGAGTGCCTGCTCAGGTAGCAGGAAACAGGTATATCAGGTGGGGAATGGTGTGGGAAGCCATATGGAAAACCACTTCTTTCCTTTGGGGGCTGGGGGCATCATCCTTTCCTTTGCAGCCGGAAAAACGTGCATCTTGACAAGATGAAAAGCATCATCCTATGTAGGCTTCCTCAGAATTTCTCAGTAATTCTCACTGTGTTCCACAGAAATGTGCATAGAATTGCAACCTTAAATAGATATTTTGCTGTGGGATCAAATATGTGGATTAACTGGCATGCCACTCCTTTGCTTCCATTCAGTTACATAGCTGAATTGCTTGTCTTTTGGTAGCCATGATGTATCAAGCCATATCTTCTGTGGGTGCCTTTTTGCGGTGGTGCCCACAGCCATGCACCATGGGTGAAAATGTTAGGGAGCCCTATTCTAATTCACAATGGGGAAAAAATGCTCACACACAAATCCTAGCAGATGTTTTTCTTCTACAAATTCTGTTTAGCACTATAGAACTTTATTTCAAAGAAACCAAATGACTCACCAGAAATAGATACCTATCCTGAGCTGTGCCATTTTTTGCTGACAGTTTCTGAATGTGGCCCTCTTTAATCAATTCATTGGCTGGATTAACAATATCCTCCTCTCCTCCAAGTCGCTCATAGACTTCTAAGAGCTTGTGCATCTTTTCCTGCAAACACAAAAGGAAATGTCAATTCAGCTACCAACTCATTTATAATTAACACTTAACAGAAAAAAATAATTCATTTAAATAATGGGAAAAATCTTGTTAGCTACTGGATGAGGCTCCAATATTTATAACCTTGTCGTCTACCTGCAAGTATCCAGAATTGCTTATGAAAAAAAACACAATAAAAGAAAAAACACACAATATAAAGATGTGGTTTTTCACAGAGGTAAAGGCAACCTGCATGAAAACAGAATGCATTCTAGCAGAGCAAAACTCTTCTGTTAGCATCCTCAGTCTTTTGGTCTGCTCTTGATTAGGCTGCTGTATCACACATTGCCAGAGAATACCAAAATGTTCCTTCTAACATCCAAAACCCTAGCAAGGGAGAGAATAAGTATGGGTTTGCACAATCTCTGTAGCTCACCTTGGTGGGCTTGCAGCACATGCCATTTCGAATATTTAAGCGGTGGCAATCAAGTAGTCAGGCATTGTGGGCTATATGGGGGGTGAGGGAGTATTTTCTATTTTCAAAGAGAAAGTATCCATTGCTTCTTTGACCCAAGAGGCAGGTTGTGGTGCAACATGGGATGTATTTTGGACCCTGCATGATCTAAGCTAATTCTGGCTACAATCCCATGAAAACCTGACTGAGGACAAATCCCACTGAATGTACATCTAAGAAAACACACATAAGATTGCTCTCTAACATCTCATGCACTCCACTTTTGCTGTCTAGCTTGCACTTTCCTATATTATTTATTTATTTATTTATTTATTAAAACATTTTTATGCCGCCCCATTCGCCGAAGCCTCGGGGCGGCTTACAACATAGATAAAACAAGTTAAAATCCATATAAAATAATCTTAATTAAAACTCACATTATAAAATAAGCCGCCCTGGCCAGATAAAATTCAATTGTATTTAGCATTTAAAATGTTGCTTAAAACCAAGTTGCTATATACTTGGTTACTCAGAAATAAATCTCACTGAATTGGGCAGGACTTACTTTTGCTGACCAGAAGCTAGGATTATTTTACAGTATTCTTCAGTATTAAGTATAATATTGTAGGCTTGACTATAAACAACATGGGGAGCGAAATGTCACCCACAGGAAATCCTTTTAAATGTTCTTAGTGCAGTTTTAAACTATCTTCCCAGGAGCCAGGTAAAAACAGCCTTTCAGAAGTAGATCAAATTGAGGTGATATCAGCTTGCCTTCATGAGCATTAGCATTGAGAAAAGCTAAAAAATTGCAAAACCTCTGCACAGTACTTTGCAGGAAGTGCCATTTCCTGTGGCTGTCACAATACTGTCAGGCCCCAACAGATGCCAGAAGCTGAGCTGGCCTAAAAGCTACCTAGTAAAGCTTAAAGTAGAGGTGGGCAACTTGTGGCACCCCTACATCCTGGCCTAAATTCCCATCATCCGTCACCACTGGTTACCCTTGGCACCATTGGAGGGTGGCAAATTGCCTATCCCAGGCCTAAAGATCTGTCTTCAAGGTCTAACCCATCACCTGTTTTTCAGCACAGCCTGACTTCAGAACTTCCCAGTTTTCTGCCTCAGCAACCTTTTGCCTGATTAAGCTAGGCTATCTCTGTCTTTACTCTGAACCATATGCAAGAACATTCTTACCTAATGCACTTGCTTGCTCTAAGTTATTTCCTGAGAAGCCCAATGCTCAAACATGTAAATCCAGGATTTGTATCACTATGGACTAGATAGGCCTTTGGTCTGATCCAGCATGGCTCTTAGGATACATCCTTTCATTACTGAAAATAGCTAATCCATTACTGCTACATATCTTCACAACTTGTAAGGTCTCCAATTATGAGCAAGCTGGCCCTACAAATGCTTTCTTAATGGTAGACCAATGTCCTTTAATTTGGATTTATCTCACATTTTGCCTGTCAAGAGACACTGTAAGGATCAACTTCAGAAATAAGTTTTGTGAAGAACCGTATGTTTCATTCTAACAGATGATTTATCTAATATCAAGAATACATCCTGATCCCTAAAGGCATGCTAGAAGAACAAAAACAGCTACATCATATGATTATCTAGTTCATGTATGACCAAATTCTCATGGTCGTATGTGAGCACACCACCCAAGCATGGGTCTGCCCTCCACCATACATAGGACAGCAAGTGTAACAATGGGTCACATGGCTGAACTGGCCACCTTAGGCTACAGTGCTGTACACCCTTATTTAGAAGCAAGTCTACATGAACTCAGTGGCACCTAATTTTTAAAAGCAGCCATGTGTAGGATCCTGTGGTTAATGTGCAAGTACTATAACTGAAGCTTTCATGTATGACAAAACACCTACAAAAGAATGTAAGAGACTAACTACATATATAATTGATATTTAATAGGTGCCAGTGGACAAAAGGACCAGAAACAACATACACAGAAAATAAATATACTGAAGTAGTTTAGGTCAAGCTAAATACTTTAGCCTGACATAAACCAGAAACTTTCAATCCATATGAAAACCAACATTAAGACATGTGGTAATGAGAAAATCATTGGTTCAAATAAGCTTCTCAGTGAATGGCTCAGAAGATGACAATAATGCTACACAGTTTCCACTCACCATCTTTCGGATGGCTGCATTTGAATGGTTTGCTGCAGTTGAAATGAGCTCCAGTGATTCTGCAATACAGGCATCAGTGGTTATACGTTCTTAAAATGGTTATCAGTTAATAGTGCAGTTTTCATATCCATGTTGTGAACAACCTGGCTTCAAAATTACCACTGCACACAAATTACTTTCGTAAAAGGAAAGACCCTTTGCACCATATTCCTGTCCTTGATCACCCTGATCAAGGGTGCGTGCAAAAGCATTCCATTTAATAGGCCAGGATCTTTTTAACAAGTCTGATAAGCAGTACACAATGGACAAGGAAGTCAAGGAAAAATAAGTTTTATATAAGTCAGTTGTCAAGATCCAATAAATTGCTACGAGCAGTAGAGCATGTTAAACACAACCAGTTATTTAACTCAGGAACAGCCTATAGCTTTATACAACTTCCTAGTTATGCTTGCAAAACAGAAATTTCTGTTCCTTAATTTGTGGTCAGGCTTAATGTAGGCTGTTTAATGTGCACCCCCAGCTTCACTCTCTTCTCCACAGCTTCTCACTCTGTGCTTTTTCAGGTCACACACTTCCCTGGCACATACCTGATCAAGTTGTTTCCCATGTAATGCTAAACCATGGGTTAGTGCTATGCTAATGACCCAGAATAAACCCGAGTGCAGTACCAGACTTGTGTACTCCTCCACTTTCTTGTGGCAGACTTGATTCTCACTTATTGTTGCATGTGAATCAGTCTGTAATCAAGCCAGTTTTAAACCATGCCATGTTTACCAGAGTTTGTTTTAAGTCATAACCGCTGGTTTGTACATACCAGAGGGAAGCATGCGAGCCAGATGCTATGTTCAGGCTCATACAAGTTGGCTTGGGCAATATCAAACCATGGTTTAGTGTCACATGCAAAACCAGCCCATTTTGAAATTGACTCTAGTCAGTGCTTTTCCACAGTGAATCAGGATCACTATAACATTACTCATTCCTCTGCACCTGAACTTTGGTTTGCTGGAGGGAAAGCACAAGGGATTCATGCCTTGTTAGAGTTAGAGTAAATTAGCCATACAACTATGCTCAGTCAGATTGAGCCTGCAATAGGATGTGGTGGAAGCTTTGCTTTTGCGTTCCATCATATACACAGTCCATATGTTTGAGAGGGATTGAGAATATGTGAACTCACCAGTAAAATGTTATACAGCAAAAATAATTCATCTAATAATTTGCCTAATCGTTCATCTAGCAGGAAAAACAATAGCTAGCTACAAGGTCATTTACAATGTTCAGTGCTCTCACAAAATCTCCCAACTCTTTAAGTTTACAGTCTCACCAAATCAGAAGCTTTCTCTTCTCTTATAAAGGTTGGGTGGAAAACAGCTTTGTTACTTGAGCCAAAGATGAGTGGAAAAAAGTATTGGTTTCACATTTTTATATGAACTCAATCAATGTGCATTACCCAGAACCATACGTGGATCTGAAAACAATTAGTGGCGTGAAATCCATACATTTCTGTTTCTAAGTTTCACAAAACAGTTTTCAAAAACATGCACACATATGAAAAACGTGCCCTGGAAAATGTGTACATCTGAAGAATGTATAAAAATGTGCTTCAGCCAGTGGGGACATGCATACAAAAAGGCGTACATTAAAACAAATGCACAATTTGCATGCTTTGAAAGACACACAAAATCATATTTACGAACATCTGTGCAAACAAAAAGAAAAGAAAAAGGGGGGGGGGTGCTCAAAATCTGATGAAGAACCAGAGCGAACAAGCCTAATGCAGGAAAAATGAGCATCTGAAAAAAATCAAAATTCACAGATTTGACTGTATTTACCTTGAGCAGCTGAAACATCACCATGCATTTCCTGTGTCACCATGTTAGTTCAACCAATTGAAGCCAGAAGCTTCACTACCACAAGCACAATATAACATAGATCCAAGGACTATCAAGAGTGTATACCACTTACACCCCAAGGCCTTGACTCCTTTTGGTTTCACAAGCTTATGATCCAAGTCAATTGATATTATGTTATTTTTAGGGGGGATTGATTAGAAGAAAAGGAGAGAAGGGTCTGATTCTTACAGGTTTTAAAACATGCAATATGTTTCACAGATACTCCATTCACTCTTGAATGCAACTCTACAGAATAAACTGGTCATTCCTAACCATGTGGAATGTACATACTTTCAGCATCTTTCCTGTCTGGTGACTCTCCAGGAAGTTTTTTAAGATAATCCTTCAGGAGAAGCTCATAGCGTGGAATTCTCTGTACAGGTTCCAGCATGTGATGCTGTAATGTCAGGTTTCCACATATTTCTTGTTTCTGTAACCCAGGAAAAAAATGGTTCTGGCTGATTTTTGTTTTTATAAATGTCATATCCATGTATTCAAATCATTTAATGAAGTAGATACTGCTACGCTTTAATCTGCAAAACCGACTGGGATAGCAGACAGATGCTTTCAGTAGATCATTGTGCTTCAGTAATCAGGCTTAAAAAATATCCTGAAGATGGTGACAATAATTACTAGGTAAAATATAAGCAAACAAACCAACCCTATGGGATACTTTTAGACATACAAATACCAAAACCAAAGAGATAAGGACGGTGAAAGCATGTATTATACACCACACTGAAAGTAGGCCCAGCATCATAGTCAGTTTCTCCCTGGCCAATACCCTAATTTCTAAGACAAGGTCTTGTGGGCACGGTCCAGGGCCCTAGCGATGCTCAGGCTGGAAGAGATGCTGAGAACATCAGGGAAGCAGAACTGCAAACTCCATTGTGTTCCTTTAGTCAGAGTGATCTTATGATGGAAGTGAGCTTAAAATGCAAAAGTGCACATGCTCAGGCCATTTAGTCTATCATGGTTGGCAAGCACTCTAATATATAGTTAGAGAATGGAATGGCAGTTGTGAGGAAAGAGAAAGTTAACTTTGTACTTTGAAATCAATGTAATATACAAGGTGGTCTAAAGGGGGTGCATGAGACACTTGGGTAATATCCAAGGTTAGTCTTATGTAGAGCAGATCCATTGAACTGAATGAGCCTTAGACGCAAGTTGGCTGCTCTACCAGGGTGTACTCTATGTAGGAATACCACTGGACAGTACCCATTATATTCGGGGTTTAAAATTATCTAGCTGCACCACCAAGCAGACTTTAATCAATGCAGTGGGCATGTCAAACAGAAACCCACTTTTTTCTTAACCAGCTTGTAGTGCAGGACAGTAAGGCAGCATATGCTGGACAACCCCACAAGCCTCAGTACGTTACACATTTAGAACAAAATGAGATAATGAACACTCATTGTTTTGTATGAAATTTAAGAAACATCTGCATCAGAATGCAAAGCTTAATCCTAATCCTTGTATTCAGATACCATAATCAACATCACCAACCTGCAAGAAGGAACTTGGTGGATCTGACAACCATTAGGATACAGTTTTGACACTTAAATGTAAGGCAAGTCAAAGGGAACTTGCATTATAAGCTAATCAATACTCATGATTCATGATGCGATTTTTCATGTAATCTCAGAGTCATTACCAATGACATTATTACAAATACCCCACACAAAGCATCTCAAGAGTCCTGCATGAAATCTTATAGGCAGTAGCAATCACTGATGAGTGATGATCCATTTATGCATGAACACACCATTTTTAGTTGTACACTGCACTGTGAGATCAAAGGTCAAAGAATGACATTTCTCTCCTAGAAATTCATTTCCTATTAATGGCTATGCATAGACTGCAATGCAACCTGGAACTCAACCAGGGTAAGGTTCCTGGATTTCATGGCAGACCAAAGCAAATTTGACAAAACTGTTCTGCCCTGTTTGACCCATATGAATTCCACACACACCTCTGTGAACTGCTGTATAGTAAACAAGGAGCGGAATTCCCATCCTATGCCAGAGTGAATATTCAGATTTCAGCAGGGTGGAAAGGAATTTCAGTAGCTACAAGGCATGACTCAACAAGGTCCAGAGACACACTTCAGGATGCATTCAAAATTCAATTAGGGGAGAAAAAAGTACTTTAAGAGTATTTGTTGCCATTTGGATTTTATCCATTTTCCACTATTATTAATACTGCTATATATATAGTACATATTAGTACTATAGTGTTAGTACTATATTTGCAATATTAAAATTAATGTTAACATAGCACAGAAAGGAGCATCCTTTTATAGAAAATCCTTTCTAACATGCATACCTAGTAAATATGTCCATTTTGTTTATCATCATCATCACTGCATTTATACCCCACCTTTCTTCCTTTTGCAATGAACTCAGGTTGGCTTGCAAGGTTCTCCTCTCTATTTCAGCCTCACACCAACCCTGTGAGGAAGGGGAGTCAGTGACTCAAGGTCAGCCAGCAAACTCCATGGCTGAGGGGATCTAGAACCTAGATCTCCAGAGCTCCAATCCAGCACTTCAGCCACTATTGTACATTGGCTCTCAGACATGAACTAGGTATATATCACTATTCATTATGTGCATGACCAACCGATAAGCTGGGCAGAGATCTAGCTGCTCTAGAGGAATAATTATTTGTGGTCTGGATCAACCTTGCCGTCTGTAGAATACGCTCTTGACTCTTTGCTGGTGGCTACATATGCAGAGCCACTGGCAAGTACAGAACGTCCTATGAGTGCTGGATGGGGCTTTTTCTTCTAGTTTCACTCCTGCCTAATATGTCAACAGGATATGGACTGTGAGCTTTATATCTGAAAAATCTCTTCTTCCTGTATATACCTGCCCATAAGTTATCATCATCTTTTGAGGTACAGTCAAGAGAATGTAATTATGTGTAAGGCAGGGTGTTTTTGAGCAACACACAGGCTATGGAATCCCTTCCCAAAGGAGATTAGAATGGCCCCATTCCTGATGTTTTTAGCAGGCACACGTGTGTCATCTACCTGGCTTTTTCTTTGAGATGAAATCTTTTAACTCTACTTGCCTTGGTATTAACAGTCTGTTTTAATTGCAGCTTTTGTTTTGTTAATTATCTTGGAGGGCCTTGTCAAGGCCAAAATAGCATATAGAAGTACATCTGTATTTACTAAATATACCTGTATATTTTGAATGATATCTTTAAAAGGAGATGATCTCTGTATCCATGTGTTCACCATGTCCATTGCTCTGTCAAAATTCTTTACATATTCTCCATACATCTTCAGAAATGGAGCAAGTTTTTGAAGGATATCTCCTAGTCTTGGGTTGGTATTCCTATAGCAAAAGCCAAACACAAAGACATAAACAGGAAAAAATTGAAGCTCACATAAACTGGGAAGCATAATCCTGCTTGCACCCAAGCCACACTTTTTGCAAAAGAAATGTTTAGATCTAAATTCCATTCACAGAAAGCTTTTGGTCCAGCAGAAAGAACCTACAGAATGAAGGTGGATGTGATTTCTGCTTCTGCAGCTCTCAACATCACTGTTCTGGAGGGTCCTCCAATGCAAAGGAAGCATCCTGGATCCAAGCCATTTCCAAACAGCCAGCTTGACATGCTTTATTTATTTATTTACCACCTAATAGGCAAGGAACTCTATTACAGAAATTAATCTGGTGTGTGTGTTACAGACAATATAAATTGAATGGTTAGTGTTCATTATAAGCAGCCACTGTGCACACTCACCATATTTCATATAATCAGTTCACAAACTGGCACATTCTCCAATCATTATGCATATTCTTCAACAGCCTTTGGGAAACGTGCCCATAGAGAATATACTTTTCACATACCCCAGCCTATGTGCATCATCCCCAGTGGGCCTTGGGGAACGTGCGTACAGCAACTGCATTGTTTGGGTTGTTACTTTATTGTTGTTTCAGATTTATAGCTGCAAACTGCCTGAGGTCATTGATGACTTTGGCAGTATATAAATCTAATAAATATGTAAATCGACAATGAATAACGATTAATGCATTTGTATTTATGGACCCAGGTGTGGAATCCAGGTTAGAGCTTTGTATGCTAGAATGAGTAACGGAGCTCTTACAATAGTGGGCTTTCCCCACAGTAACTCCATATACATCATGAAGATATAAGCCTGGGAACCTGGTCCAGAACTGAAGACACTGAGAATGACTAGAGTTCTGCAAGGATTTGTATTATATTACTAGGGTGAAGGTAAGGAGGCATTATATGTTACTGTTTCAGACCTACTACTGGAAGGCCATCCAAAACATTATTTTGGTTTTATGAAATAACACATCAGAAAGACATGGAACAGAAAAGCATAAAATAAAGATATGGAACCTTTAAGCCAAAAGATGTTGCATAAAGATCCTTTCTACTATTCTACTGATAGTGCATTTAGCATATTACAGAAACAGACATTTTTAGTTACTAGAAAGTTCTAGGCAAGGAAGCATTTGTATGTAACTTTCATTACCTACCACTCATCTGTAATCCGTGTTTTCAGTTCAGGCAGGAGAAACTGTCCATGGAAGCAGTAGATAGAAGAAATATTTGAAAATATTCCTGTTATCACTTCATTTGGAATCCCAGCCTCAGACAATTTAGCACAAAAAACCTGTACAAAACAAACACACCACAACAAAACATCAGAAACAAAACGATATGATTCTTACTAATTTAGAGCAGCTGGATTTTGACAGACAGAACTGAAAGTGGGAGGGCCAAAGCAACTAGGAGACCCAACATGAAGATTAATTGGTTGAACAAGCATTGCCCAGCAGGACACAGAGGAACTAAACATCCTTAGAAGAGGAGAAGCATTTTCTGAACCCTTTTTGTGTTTCAAGTGCAGGGGTACTACAGTTGAGGATCAATGAATTACACAGCAGGAGGAAAAGGAAAAAAATCCAGTTGGTTATGAAGAAACGCGAGTTTCATATCATCCACTGGAATGTGTGCAGACTGCAGAAAAGCAGGAGCCGACTTTGTTACCAACGTCTCATCCAAGCTTTCTGAAGCTGTGTAGAACAAGTAAGTGAGGAGATGGGCCACTCTGGTTCACTCCATGGTACACATTTTGCCGGGATTTTCTACATTTCTCAATCATGTCATGATTCAGCACGGGTACAGAAGACTTCCTTTTCAGAAAGTCACCCTCCACAAGTAGATGATAGAAATGCATGTGTATATTCTACACACCTACAAACACATGAATAGATGTGACAGACATATCCAAAACCAAACATTTTCTGTAGATCATGTTGGTTGGGGCAGAAATGATGGCTTGGTCAGCAAATTAAGGAACAAGGGGATGCTAAGGACAGAAGAGCCTCCCAATGAAGTGAAGGAGGATCAACTCGGATTCTTAATTTGTGGACAATGGCCCAACTGTATTAACAAGGGCAAAGCAAATTGCCATGCGAGTATCTCCTGTTTGAGGCAAAATACTGCCACATCTAGCTCAAATGAAGAGCATTCGTGGTGCTTTGTAGAAGATCCAATGTTTGCCAGAACATATCCAAATCCATCCAGGTGGGTTACCCTGAAACAACTGTGGAGAAAGCGCCAAGCTCAAATTCTGGTATGGCATAGACAATATAAAAATATGAATTCGTAGCCTCGTGAGATAAAGAGAAAGCATTTACTCCTTATGACAGGGAAATCAAACCTCAGGACTGTGCCAAATCTACCCCATGTAGGCTTCCAATCTGCCTCTTGGAGGTTTCCCCATGCTTTTCTCCTCACCAGCTACTCCTTTCCCTTACACAGTATTTGTTTGGTGGTTTTGTGGTATTTGCCCAGTTCCAGAGTGCTGAAATGTCTCTCCTATGACTTGATTACTGGCAATAACAGTTTTAAGCACAAATTGAGCTTTGGATATTGTTAAAATCAAATATAATAAATATGCTCTCATTTTTGTTACTGGGAATGAGACTCTTGATGGCTTCTCTGAAATTGAATTTCACTCTTGGACCGAAAGAGGTTAAATACGCCGGCTTACACTTTTGTGAGTGCTTTCAGAAATCATTTGCACTGGGTCACCCTGGAAAGAAATCACATTCCTAGCTTCCACTGCTTTAGTTCAGCAAACCACTGCCAGCTTTTTCAATCATGAATAGGCAAACCTATGTTGGGCAATATGGAAGTCACAGCCTACTGTATTTATTCTAACAGTCTACCGGTATGATTTGAAATACTGAAGGCATGCATCAGGGATGGATTACTGCAAACAAAGGCAATTTAAACCCTGACTGCTCTTTAGAAGGACAGATACTGAAGCTGAAGCTCAAATACTTTGGCCACCTAATGAGAAGGAAGGACTCGCTGGAGGAGACCCTGATGCTGGGAATGATTGAAGGCAAGAGGAGAAGGGGACGGCAGAGGTTGAGGTGGCCGGATGGGGGTCACTGGGAAGGTGGGTGTGGGGTTAGGTGGACTCTGGGGGACAGTGGAGGACAGGAGAACCTGGAGGAATGCTGTCCATGGGGTCACAAAGAGTAAGATACCACTTTGCAAGTGAACAACAAAACAAAGGCAGCTCTGGAAAGGTCACTATAAGGATGGTGAAAACTGGTTGAGCAGATGTTTGTTAACAGGAAACAAAAATGTGTGAATGAAGCTGACTGCAAGCCTTTAAAATAAGGTAGAACACAAACGCATAAAATATTTTATACAAATGCATAAAATATTTTTAAAAAGCAAAATGTAGCAGTAACCTTACCTGGTCTAGAAGATGAAGTCTTTTAACATAAGCTTCTTCTGTATGAAGAAGTTCGTTTGCAATGTTAAACAGCTTTTGTGGCTCTGAACACTGCAACAATACAAAAAATGCAAAGCCCATGGTAAACAAACGTTACATGTAGAGAAAATAGAGACCTCTTACTACTTTCTTGCAATAGTTGAAATGGGCTTCCCTGTGAAACGAGCGCCTTGTTTTGTAGAGCTGATGAAGTACACATTTGGCTGGTGTGTCAGATGGTTATGCAGGGAGTACATTGCATGGCTTTTCTAATAACAAATTAGTACAGTGCAGCCTTTTATATTGGGCTTATAACCAGCTTATCATGGCATTCAGAGCAGCTACGCAGCACCAGGAAGGTCAGCAGTGTGACGGTGACAGGAAAGACATGATTTTGCTGTTAAACCAGGTGTGTGCGCCTTGTTTTAAAATAACATTGTCCTCCCTGAAGCATTCATGAACCTGTTTTCAGTTTAAAACAAGGTGCAAGCCTGGTGGCTGGCATGGACAAAAGTGGCAGGAGTTGCACAGAGCCACACAAGAACCAGTGTGGTATGGTGGTTAGAGTGCTAGGCCAAGGACATGAGAGATCCACGTTCTAGTCCCCACTCAGCCATGGGTGACTCGGGGCCAGTCGCTCACTCTCAGTCTGGCCTACTTCACAGGGTTGTTGTGTGGCTAAAGTGAAGCTACGTAAACTGCCTTGGATTCCTCACCAGAGGAACACAGACAAGATGCAAGTGCAATGTAATGATGATGATGTCCATCCTTGCTACAAACCAACCAAAAGTATGAGGCCTTTGAGAATATGTTTTTAAAAGTTCCAAATGCTGCTTTAGTTATGCTAGATTATTTTAAACTGTATACTCTGCTGTATACTACAATTTTCCATCTCGGTTTTCTAATGTAAAACTCTGACGACTGTAGAATGAAACCTAAAGGTTTTGATGTCTTTGTTAAACCAAATTAAGCCAGCCTGCACTAGCAAAGGACTAGATCACATGCAGTTTGATGCAAAGGCTGATGGTCCTCACAACACATCACGCTTTGCTTAGCAGGGTCTAAGCCAGGCTCGCGCTCCCAGCCCACAACTACATCTCTGCCCATCATTATGCAAGCGTGCGCACAATTACTTGCTCTGTATAGGGTTCTTATCAAGATATGGTGCTGCTTACCAGCAGCTCAGAGAAAAAATGGAATTCAGGAATAAGTGTGCGGCAAATTCAGACAGCTATGCTAGCACTGTATCATTTGCAATTAACTATGATAGCTTAGCCATATCACAACTCATGGTAAGATGGTTTTTTCATTTCATAAGGGCAATAGTCTTTGATGGGAATAAAAAATTCATGTGTAGAAATCATTCATTTCTATATGAGATGACTGGACCACTCTTACACAATTCGGTACCAGTCCAGAATATTTCCATATCACTTCTTGTTAACTGAATTGATTAAAAAAAGGGAATTCAATATAATTGCAGGGGAAAGTTGAACTTAGACACAGTCAGGGATGCTCTTCTAAAACTGCTTAAATTAATAACCCTGACCTGCCTTTCATGCCATTTCCCCTTTTAGAAGCATCAAGTCTAACATGCCTCATAAAATTTCAGCAACTCAGAGAGGGAGAGGGATGATCAAAGCTAATTAACTCTTTCTTGACAGTTTTCATTGGACAAAAGATAGACAAGTCCCTCAATTATTAAGTCAAGATGCAACAAATGCATAATGACAGTGACGGGGAAGGGCACGCGACAGCAATCCCAAGGGAGAAATATGACACGGGAGAAATATGACACCTAAATTTAGCACCATTCTGCAAGATCTGTTGGAAGGAAGCACCACTTCATGTCCATTTTCCCCCACAGCATTAAGTATGATCAGAGAATATTTTTGGGTACCTGGTTTCCTTTAGGCTCATTCACCTCACAGCTATTTTTGGAGCAGTTATAAGAAATAGAAATATTTTCCCTGAAAGCTTTAAGTATGACTAGACTACAGGGCTATTGGGGAAAAAAAGCAAGAACCAGTGAGACACATTAGCTTCTGAAAGGATCTGACCGATTTTTCCAATTTTGTAAATAAAGAATTGAGAAATGTGTTAAATTCACACATTTAAATTAGCAGTCACCTCATAGTAGGATGTGTCTTGAAATTTCAATTTTTAAAATTTAAAATTGGACTGGAAACCTAGGACATCTGGATTCTAGTTCCCACTTGACACTGGGTGACTTCTAACTAGTCACTCCCTCTAGGGTTCTTCCATTGAGGATAAAATGGAGTTATGTAAGCTGGCTTGGGTTCTTCACAAGAGGAAACAAGTTGGATATAAATCCAATGTAATTATAACAAATGTAATTTGCTTTTAGCACGATATTAGCATTGCAATTCCACCTTACCCAACAGTAACACTACTAGCATTAGTGACAACATAAACAGGATGAAGATTCTTAGTTGTATCCCATTGTTGCACAAATGGTAGGCAGTTCTTCTTATTGACCTTCTTCTTTCTCCCCTCTGCAGTGCCCTGTATCCCACAAAATCCACCCTAGAATATGGAGGCTCTTAAATAGCATGGGCTCTATCACACAGAAGTGAAGCAGGGGAAAGGGAAATCACTCCAAATCCGACAGAGGAATTTCGCATTATGTTTTAAATGCACATTACCATGAATTGTAGTTTATATAGAATATAAAATATATTGCCATAAAAGTGTGCAAAGCTGAGTAACAAAGGTAGGATGGCTGAGTGATCCAAAGGATACTGCCATGTACTTAAAGACCACTTGGTTAATGCTGTATGCAATTTGAATTCCACTAGACATAAGTAGTTCCATATCTGTAGAGATTTGCCCCCACAGATTTCATGGTGTCTTGTATTCATTCATCATGCAATATTACAGCCTAGCAAAGTAAATACATACAGTCTGAAAGGCTGCATTTTCCAGAATATACTTCTAGGTTTTCCCTTAATGTCTGCTATTATTCTACCTTTAATGGCTGCAATGACACCAAAATCAATGTTTCTTATTCTTTCTTCTGACGTGATTCTCATTAATAACCTAATTGGTTCCAGCCCCAGTGTTTATACATATGGATAGAGACTCAGACTAATTCCAGGCCTATTCCCACATCAATATTCCCAGTATCAGGAAAACGTACTAGTACCCCCACTATCTCTGTTAAGCAAATGATGTGCTGATGGCTAATTTGACTCTCATTGTGTCAAAGTTTCTAAACATGGCTAGAGAACTAAATCACCATATGAACTGCCATAGAAACTTCTTTCCCAGAGCATCCCAGAGTCTGCTGAAGGATGGTATATCAATCTTTTAAATAAATGCTTCAAGTTACTAAGAGACTAAGAGACCTGATGGTTTTCAATGTCTCACTTCATCCATTTGCTCTTAAACAAGGCAAAGTTCAACCTAGCTCTAATGCCTCAGCCTCATCAGTTCTGATGCTTAGATTTTCAAGAACATCATAGTTCCATGATTTTGCTGTTGTTACATGCCATCAAGTTGTCTCTGACTTATGATGACCCTACAAATCGATGCCCTCCAAAATGTCTCATCCTTGACAGCCTTGCTCAGCTCTTGTAAACTCAAGGCCATGGCTTCCTTTAAGCAATCGATCCACCTCCTAGTTGGTCTTCTGCCTATCAAATCTCCCCTCAGTTTTCTCTTCTTGAGGCTAAGCATGCCCAGTTCTTTCAATCTCTCCACACACAGCTTTGTTTCCAGTCCCTGGATCATCCTTGTTACCCTCCTTTGAACCCTTCTCAGCTTGTCTGCATCTTTCTTGAACTGTGGTGCCCAGAACTGGACACAGTACTCTATATAAGGTCTAACCAGTGCTGAGTAAAGGAGAACAAGTAATTCACATGATTCACCATTTTGTGATTCATAAAATCTTTCACAATTTCAATTTCTTCACTGTTGACAGTAAAGCCGTGCAATTCTTTGGAGGGATGATTCTTTGTTTTCAAAAATGATCAGCTGCTGTACTGCTTTGGCACTTTCTTTAACTTTCAGCATGAGTTATTTCAGTTAGCTGCTGAAGCCAGAGGGGTCAGACTAGATGGCCTGGGAGGTCCCTTCTGTCTCACTCTGTTTCTATTTTTCTACGAGTAATATGGTATTATCAGCACATTTTAACTTATTGAAGTATTTTCCACCAATTTTCACTCCTGCTTCCTCTGTTAATCCTAATTCATCTTTCTTTATATGTTCTGTGTAAAGACTGAACAGACAGGGAGATAAAATACCGCCTTGTCTAACATCACTGCCTATAGGAGACTTTAATGTTTCTCCATATTTATTCAGTCCTAACAATAGCTTCCTGTCCACAATAAAAGTAATTTATCAGGATGATTGGTTGAGGCAGCCTCATTTTTTTCAGGAACACCTGTAGCTTCTCATGATCCACACAAATGTTTTGCTATAGTCTACAAAGCATACATTGATCTTTTGAAATTCTTGGTGCAAGGCAAGTTCATACATTAGCCCAAGCATATTTACACTATGAGCTCACAAGCCTCTTCCTTTCTTTGAAATCCAACTTGCATTTCTTGCTCTATAAGGGTTGCAAAACCTTGAACATCACTTTGCTTGCATAGGAAATTAGTGCAATGCTCCCATAGTTGCTGCACTCTTTAGTATCATTCTTGGGGTCTGGAATGTATATTGCACAATTCCAGTTTGTGGGTCACTGTTTCGTTTTGCATGTGTGTTGGCATATTCTTGCTGGATTGTGACTGATTCAGTTCCTGCAGGCTGGAAGAGTTCTATTGGTATCTGGTCTACTCTGGGTACTTTATGCTTCACAAATGTGCTTTCAGAGGAACTTTCACTTCATTTTTTCATATTGCAGATTTCTCATTATAGGATTCCTCTTCAAAGCACCTTGTCATCCTTCCATCTCTTCTGTGTATTTATTTGGCATATTGTTTTCACCTTCTCTTTATTTTTTCCTGGACAGATAGTATGTTGCCTTGTTTGTTCTTGAGCATCCCTAATCTAGGTCTGAATTTTCCTTTAATTTCTTGGACTTTCTTGAAGAGTTATCTTGTTTTTCCTCTTTTTTTGGTTTTCTTCTATTTCTTTGCACTGGCCATTATAACCCTTCTTTTTACCTCCACATGATTCTTTCTGGGAAGTTTCATCCAGAATTCTGACCCTATTTCTGTCAACCTATTTCTATTGCCAGAGTGGAACCAGAAACCTTTAAATTTGGATTTTATGGTCTGCGGTATATATATTGTTGTTGACTTTAAATGGCTTGCCCTTGGGCGAATACAGAACATTCTGGAGGTATCATTATTGTTTTGACTAAAGACTAATTGTTTTGGCTAAACAGAGTCAGATAATGATCATGGTCCTGTTCTGGGAAAGAAGATCATATATCTTGTGATAGGATCATATATGATAGGTGCTTGAAGACATGTGCCGAGGTTTTGCGGCAGCTGATCAACTACTGACTCTATCAATATGGTGAGCTGAATGTTTCCAAGTTCACACTGAGGAAGGATCAAGTCATTGCCATGCGGTCAGAGCCTACAAAGGGAGCCTCAATGTTAAAACCGCAACATGGAACATTGATCCAACTGTAAGAGTTATTTGCTGCTACAGGAAAGTGCAAAATATTCCTGGTACAAACAGAAAGAAATGCAGGCTCAGTGAATTTAGGTCTGAACTGCCTGGAGCAGGCGATCAAGATTGCAGGACCAAATGCTATAAAAATGACAGGACAAAGCTATGAACAAACAACCACAGGAACTGCAGGATTGCAGAACAAACCCACTTGTGCCACTGTGTTAGTTTTTGTTAGAAAGGTCAGATATACACCAAACAGATAAACATGGCTTAACAGAACTAGAAATTTTTCCAGACTGACCTGGAAACAAACCAGTTTATTTCCAGAAAAATTGGAAATGAACTCGTTCATTTTCTAAATCAATCTGAATCATTTGGCAAATGCCGACACGACACATGCTCTTTCTAAACTGAAGCAGCAGCTGTAGCAGCAACATCTCAACATGCATAACAGTTCACCAGGACAGGAAGAACTGCAGCTACTACTTTTGTCCCACTTCCTGCCTACAGCTAAGTAAAATAAAAATTGAAGGGAGTATTTGCTGGAAGGGAAGCCAGAGCCCCTTCTCTGGTTTACATATTGACCCAGACAGAGAAGAGTGTGAAGTGCATGTAAGCATGCACATGCGTGACAAGAACACCTCTCTCTGAGGCACCCTTTTAAGAATCTTGAAAGCTTGAGCAAACCTCCACACATTTCTAGATGTAGCCAGCTATTTCAGCAAAGTCCCTTCTGGCGGTCACCTTCTAAATCAGTTCACCTTTATTCATGGGCTTACCTGGTGGTAGCAGAGGGTGAAGGTAAGAAGTGAAGGCTTTGAGGAAGGGAATCAGTGGGAAACTGGAAAAATGCTTCTCTCCCCACCCACCACCCCACTCCGCATTTTCTAAAACACCCTGCAGGGGAAAAACACAGTTTTCAGCAGGCTGTGACATCTCTAGCTGCAAGCTGGCAATGTAGTTTTCCACAATGCCCTGGAGGTTATGCAATATCTGGGGCACTGTGGGTAACAACTCGAAGATTCACCCATCCAGTTGAGGAAGGGATCAGGGCAGGTGTCACTGCTGGTGGGACCTGCTGAAGGGTTCCAGCTGCTGATACTGGGTGATTTGGAGGGGTTTCCAGGCGCTCGATGAGTCTAAGTTCAGGAGTATCTTCTGCAATACTGTTTCAGATCTCTGCTTGTGCAGAAATGTCAATTTTTTAACTGTTTCTGAATTGTTTTAATAGCAGGGAGCGGAGCTACTGCCAGAAGGATAACAAGAAAGGGAACTCAGCAGAAACACCCCCAAATTCTCCAGGAAGTGCTTCCTAGGCACGCACACTTGCACAGTTGCATATAAAAAGTTTTAGAAAGCCATCTGCAAATGGTTTGCTTGTGAATCACAGCTGTTTGCATTGGGTTTAGTCAATAAGGAGGGAAACATTGTTTTGTAATTTGCCATTTATATGCCACATTCCAGAAGATTACAGGCTGGAGCCATAAGACAAGGAAGGCTACAGCTTAGTAATAGTACAGTGTTTTATGTACAGAAGGCTTCTGCCTGAATGCCTGGATTGGTCATTGCCAGGCAGTAGTATTGCGTGACTGGACTGTGTGCATAAACTTTCAAACTCTGTATTATGCAGCTTTCTACTTTGAAAGTCAATTTCTGCATGGAATGCTACTGTAAACATAGGATGTATTTTACCTTGTTGATGTCTACTCCTTCCAGTTTAGGTGTCTCTGATGTTTCTTGCTCTTCACTGCTCCCCTCATCCATGTCACTGTCCTCATCCTGAGCAGAGTCTCTTTTCTGCTCCCCAGTAGAAAACCTGGCACTCTTCTTGTCAGTTTCCACCTCTGCTGGATTCCCAGCCATGGTGAGCTTTTTCTGTTCTGCACCATTTTCATTGAGAAAAGTCTCTCCAGCCACGCTGCAAGAAGGGCTATCAATTCCACTGTCTCTGTTGGGAATTTTGCCATTCCCGTTCAGCTCCACAGAGGAGTCCTTACAGCCAAGTTCTTCCGTTGGTGCTCTTCTGTCATGCACAATAGTACAGTCTTCAGTGCTTGTGGTATCATCTATATTTAGTTCTTTAATTTTCATTATGTCTGCATTAGACATTTCACTGCTACACAAGACACCAGCCTCACTCTCATCTTGTTCTGTATTTTCGTTTGTAGAATTACCACCGGAAGCTAGCACCTCACAGACGTTTGCAGATGGCTCTTTAGAAGAGTCCATTCCAGGTTCCATCTTAAAAGTTAAATTAAATCGATTTCTTTGAACAACATGAATGGGCAACCTGAAAATACAGGAATGATTGGTTTAATCACTAATGAATTTCAGATCAGAATTCCAGAGATTTAAGCTCTCTGACTTTGGCCTGTATGGGATGGCCACCTATAGGTTTGATGCAGATTTGATGTTTTACATAATGATGCAGCAAACTGTCAATCATTAGTTGTTAAGCTATTTTAACTTCCATGAAAGACACAATCCAAATTTTCTGCCTCAGGCCTGCACAAAGCTTCAGCTATTTCTGTTTTCATTGGATAAGAGCAACAAATAGGCATTGAAACTTTAAGCATTTCTGAAAATATAAGCACTCAAAATAACGGCTATACATCTTGATAATTACTATGTAGCCAAACAAAGACATCATTTAATAGTAATAGACTGCAATTTTTAAGGAACAACTCAAAAGCCACAAATTTAAGATTTTTAAATATTTATGGGAACTATATTGAGGAAGTCACCCATTTAACAGAATTAACCCTGAATAGTGGGTAAACCATTTATAGGCTGTTAAAGGTCATTCAAGTATATTTATCTGCATCAAAACCACAACACCCAAGTGCACTGTAACAATAAAAAACCAGCATTCTTCCTGGGCATTTTTAACACAACACAGACTAGTAAATTCTGAGTTCTCTGAGAGCTGTGCCAATCAACCTCTCTCTACAGAAAACAGCCATAAAGTCAACCTTTCTCACAGAACAAAACCATCCAACCTTAAATAAATCAACTGCAGCCCAAGAACACATAATCCAGGCCTTAATGTGCAGGGTTTTTTAGGATATGGTGATATATCTGACAACTTGGATTCTTGACTGTCAGTTCAATGTTATGGCTGAATCGACTAACTTTTATGGAATTTAAAATCTGAAAACTCATCCATTTTTACTGAACATAAACTATCTATTTTCAAAATATTTTGATTAAGCTACTCACCAATAAATAACCATCCATTATGAGGCAGAATTCAAAACTCTCCACTGTTAAAAGCGACTTACCAGTAATATCTGTCAGTGTTCAAATAGGTCTATTCCTTTTATGTATTTCATTGTGAGCTGTTATATTTTCCCAGTTAAAAATGCATTTTTGATAAAAATTGTTTTAGGAAGAGATGTTGTTGTTGTTGATCAGGGTGATAACAACGACGACCACAGAAACTCACCTAATATTTTCAAATTTTTCAATGAGCCTGTTAATGTCCGCTGAGGTCTGTGTTGTTTGTTCTTCAGTTGTGACGCTCCTTGATGACTTTGGATCTGCTGGCAAAGGCCTAGATGGTGCTGGAGGAATCTTCTCCTGCCCAGCTGGCTGCAGATGGACAGGTTTAGGAGGTACTAAAAACCAAAACCAGAAATAAAGGACTGTTCCAACTTTAATAGCAAGAAAGCCAGTTGCGCCAATAAAAGTTGGTACAACCACTGCTTTATTACCATGGAAGAAAAAGTGCCAGTTTGTATTTCTACATACTGAATTTGTCTTAAGACAAGATGCACTGGCCTTCCCTTCTGCAGTTTGCTGGAGCTTTGAAACATTGACAGAATGTGACCACTTCCTTATTGCTAAACAGGATATACAGACAGACAGTGCGTTTTACAAAACCTACCCCACAACTTTGAAGACTGAACTGAACATTCTGGATAGTAGTGTCCCACCGCTTTGAGTTATGTTGGATTAAACTCTTAAGCAAATTCAACAGAGGTTTAATATAGATCTTTTAAAATTTTGACTTATTTTTCTAGAAATGCAGGAAGCAACTTGAAGAACTACCAATTTCTCTCTTCTGTTCCCTTCCCCCACCTCTTTATGGTAAAATCAGCAAAGCTTTCCTTCCTCTTTTGCTGTCACACTAAACATACTGCTTTAATGAAGCACTTACCATGGTTGCTGTCTGTTTGTCACTGGAAAAAGAACCATGAAACACCTTTGTACTCAGCCCTGAGTCTTCATTAAAATACTGCAAGGGTGGAGTTCCTCAAACTGCTCAAGGGCAAATAGCTTTCCTCTCAGGCTTACAAGCAGTAACTCAGAGCAATAAGTTCATGCATTTTCACTGTTCCATACAGCCAAATGTAACTTAATTGAACTAGTTTCTAAAATAAGTAATTTAGGAAAATTAACTCCAGTTGTTCGCATCTTTCTGCAGGTACAGCCAACATCCACAAGTTCTGACTGCTTAATGGGAAAAAAGCTACTTGTTTATACTGCATTGATTTCTCTGTTGTAGAAGCTGCATACCATATTTAAAGAAAGCATACATGCTGTCATTACATACTACCATCCATGTATATAACACTTAACAAAGGAACATAAGCAAAACTGACAAGAATTTCTAAATGTAAATTTAACTGTGTGGGAAACAGGTTTTGCAAGAAGCTGCCAGACTTGTTCCTCAACTAGAGCATAGTTACTGAAGACACTAAGGCCAGGTGGAGGACAGGTGGAACAGTTTAAAACATGATTAGAGCACAGCACCATCAGTGGTAAGCAGTGATCACCCCACTGAGACTATACCACCTGTAAGAAACAAAGTATTTGGAGGCAAAATCAGTACAGGAGAACAGTTCTCCAGGAAAAGCATTTTACATTCCAATTTATCAGGAAAAAACACTATTTACAATATGCGTTAGAATGACAATTTCTGCCTTGAAGAGTACATTCAGCAAAATCAGCCTAGAGACATCATTTGGGTATTATTGCCAGAGTACATCGGCAGAAGTCAAATTCCCAGTTCCAGAGGGACCTATTTACTGGCCCATGAAGCACAATAGCAGATAATCAGAGGTCAAATCCAAAACTGGCAACCAAAGAACAAAAGAATCAAATTGGTTACTAAAGGCAGGAGATCACATGCGTAGCAAGCAGGCATCTGGCCCAAAAGAGTCCTTACCAATGAAACATACTGTTCAGAATGAACAACAGACTCTCAAGATACAGTTTTATAAGATCAACTCAAGCTGACTGCAGCCTAGATGGCACACTCCAGCTCTACCTGCAAGCCTGGAGGCAGAGTGCTGCCCTGCTTGCAAAGAAAGTAAGAAGGGCAGAAGCTGGATGAGAGGAGCCCGACTTGAGACATTTAATCAATTTATCATTTGGGCTGCAGAACTGATAACAGAACTGATCAGCAACCTGTAGGTCCAAAGGGAAAATAACAAGCAGTGAAGGTAAAATGGGGACTATTCCCTTACACATATAGATGGTAGCATCTTAGCCACTCATACAAAACAGTGGCAAAAACTGCACTACAGAGACCGTAAATCAAAATCAATGTCTAAAAAAGGACACAAAATTGGTAACAAAATCTGAAAACTCTATTCCTTTGATGTCAACCCAGTTGAAGTAATCAATCAATAAAGTAATCAATCCTTTATACAACTACAAGTCCAATCTCCACCGTACCATGCATGCCAGTCTATTAGTTCATACACACTCCTGACATGACTGATGGGATGATGTAGGGATGGCTGAAACATTCATTAGGTTCACAATTTAATATGAACTTACTATATTTGCACTTGCCAGACATACACACAACCTGGAATGGAAGTGTCTGATGATCCTCACACTCTTCTGAATTTTCCACTGCAGTTTTAAGATGAAAACACACATACAAATATGCAAAATAGGAGAAACTATGTATAAAATGTATTAGGGAAACATGCACACAATGCACATTGTATTATGAAAATTACTTGAAAAAATACATAAAGGTGCAGACAAAGAGAAGTATAAATTTTCATGTGACCTTTAAAAATGCTAAGTGAGGTACAAAACAGACTTACTACTGGGAAAATGAGAAACTGAGCAGAATCGAACTTGACAGATTTATCTATCCCTGTGGACCATCTTACAACCCAAGATGGGTTGTAAAAAATGGTTTTTAAAAATCAAGTTAATACTGAAAGAGCTAAAATACACACCTTGGGGTTTCGACAAAGGATATTTTCTGTCCAGATGGGATCTGGCTTTGGGCTTCCTTCCAGTTTGAAGAGCACATTGTATGGGATCAACACGCTGCAACTCACCACATGTTTCCAGCACTGTCTTTGAGTCAATGTGACATTTGATTTGAAAAGAAGAATGGGGGCAACCTGAAATAAAGGAATGAGATAATATTTACTTTATCCTTATGCTAAACAACAAACAAAAGTGTCTTGGCAGGGCTGACCTGATATTAAGATTGATGCATCTGCTCTAAAAGTCATCAACTTAAATATTCATCCTGATAACCATCATTACAGCAAGACAATTTGTAGGAGAAATGCTAAACTAGGCTTCTTCATAATCAATTCTTCAAGCAGTCTATTATAGTCTCTAAATTATTCTACAACTGAATGACTACAGGATTAACCATATAATTTTTAAAAACATCATAGTATTGTGGAGCGATTCAGCATTGGGCAAGGCACCAATTTTTTTACTCATGTCAATGGTAAATTATCAGTCTGAAACAGGCAATCATGCTTACAAAGCCTGATGTATAATAAGCATGTCATCATGCTTGCCAATATAATAACAGATTTACAAGTGACCAGAACCTCTTCACGCATTACATTATATTACATCTGTGAAGCGAGTCCATGTGATGACTGGGGCCATACTAGATACCCTGTTCCTGGTGCTGGGTAGTGGGGCCAGCCCCATCTCTGATGTTGATATGTTCAACACAGAAATGAGAAGAGAGGCACCTGGGGAGGCTAATTACAGGGGGTCATCCTCAGATGCTGTTGGGTGTGAGAAAGACAGTTGCTCTTGCCACACAGTCGCAAGCCCTCCTGACTGCGATTCAGAGGAAGAGGAGAAGCAGAAGGGGGGCTCATGTGGGCCAATTCCAGATGTTGTAAGAAGTGGAGGTGCTCATCTCAAGGCCAGACTCCCAGCTGCTTAGGCAGCCTCTGAGAATAACCAAGAGGTACAGTTCTGGGGGGGGGGGCTTAGAACAGGGGAGTCTCTGAGACAGACAGACCTCTTGATCGCATTGTTGACACAATGGAGCAGGCAGCGTGGAAGCGTGCTCCTTTCTAAAAGGCCTCTCCTGAAGGGATGGCACCCAAACATACTCATATGAAAAGTTTCTAGAAGTAAATACTAGACCGGGTTTGACTACCAGCTGCTTGCATGCTCAGAGGTTAATTCTGGGTGTTTGTGCTCCTGGAAAACACTTTGGCCAACAAAGAATGTTTTGCAAGAAGGGTCTGTGGCTTTGAATGTGTGCAAGAAGGAAACTTAGCTCTCCACAGATGCCCCACTCGATAGTAGCCATTGAGTCAAACCTGTCTATACAACATCAAGAACAGAACCAGAAGCACATTGTCCTGTGAACTCCTTACCTATGTGCAATGCATGAAGGAGCTAACACTGTTTAATATTTAAATGCCTACATATCACAATAGAGAACAAATTCAAACTTTTATGCCCACATCATGCAAAAGCAGATTACAGAAGAAATTTTGGATTTTTTGGTGAAATATTCAAATACAGCATTACATACTTTATTCATAGGCTTGCTTTGTTATTCTGTAACTACCAGTTAGGTTCTATTAGAAGTTAGCGTATAGAAAAGCACCAAAACATAACCCAGTATGTTTGGTTTTAATATACTAGAAGAAGATAATCAATACCTTATAAATATTAATGCTACCAGTGTTGGTACTGGGATTTCAGAGTAGGGCTGCATACAGAATAAAGCTTTAAGCTAACAGACTTATTAGTTCAAATGGACCTCATCAATTCACATAAGGCTAATAAATTTCTTCAAATAGTGTAAAAGCACTAGTGAGTGAACATCTAGTTAATGATTACAACATCACTTCCTTGTCGAAGGCCACCACCAATGTCTTAAGTAAAACAAGAAATGTACAACATTGTCTTAAAGAAAAATCCAATATTCTGCGATATATGAGGGGTCTTCAAAAAGTTTCCGCACGTTTATATTATCACTGGAAACAGTGAAGGCGTTGTCTGAGAGTGCCATGTGACTAGTCTGTCTGGCAAGCCAGCTGCCCTTGCAGTTTAGTGTAAGAGTGAAGATGGCTGCGAAACTTGTAAATTGCACCAAAGAGGAACAGTGTTCTGTCATATGTTTTTTGTGGGCAGAAGGTGTGCAAGGAGCACAAAAAGCTGGGACAATCTTCTGCGACTCTCAACACCTATTCTGGAAACCTCCTCGTATCAGGAACGTGGAACAACTGCCACAAGGGCAACGTATTGTGACATGCTTCAGAGAGAACTGAAACCCACAATCTGCTCTAAAAGAAGAGGAAATCTGTCAAAGGGAATTGTGTTGTTGCACGACAACACCTGCCCCCACACTGCAGCCCACACATTGGAAACCCTCAGACAATGGAAGTGGGAGGTTCTGGAATACCCAGCTTATACTCCGGATTTAGTGCCATCGGATTCCCACCTTCTTTGGACTGCTCAAAAAAGCTTTAAGGGGAAGAAGATTTTCATGTGATGATGAGGTGAAAGCAGCAGTGCATCAATGGCTATGTGCTCAACCAAATACATTTTTTGCTA